CGATTTAGCATGATCATAACATAATAGGTTAAATATAATAACTATAAAGCCTACATTAATTAAATCAATAAGTTGGATGCTAGAGACGTAAAAACCCAACCAATAGACATTTATTTATTTGTTTATTTCATTATTTAAATCTCCCTCTCACACTAATTATAATTTATCTAACAAGAGGACACCACTTTCTTGATTCTTGCGAGGAGAACCGAAACGTGTCTTCTATATTTAGAAAACGTTGTTTTAAAAATAATCATACCTTATATCCCTGTTAAATTGAAGCTCGACTGGTGTCACATGCTCGTTGAAAATCAAGCGTGATATTTTATTATTTTCCTACTGTCCTGGACATCGAGGGTAGGAGCGTACCTGAAGGCTTTCTTGTGAGCAGCAGTCAGAGTAAGGTGTGTATTCAGAAACTAGTTAACAGTAACCTTCTGATAAAGAACGTGTATTATTTATTAAATCGCTTTTACGGAAATCAAAAACTTTTTCGTTCCCTGTCTGTTGAAATAATCATACTTTATGAAGATGTGGTGTGATCTTAGGGCATAAAATCTAAGGAATGTATTCACATGTGTAACGGTTCCAAAGCAGAAGTGACCACGTGTGTAAAAATTCTATTGTTCAACAGACGTAAATTTCAACAAATATTGTTTATTAATTTTTTTAAATAGATAAATTGAATATAAAAATAAAAAATGCCTTTTATTCTAAATTATACTAATTTACCTAAGAAATTTTAAGGGTCGGCCTATTAAATGGTTATGAATGTTTTAATTTCTACTTATTCTTTACACTTCCTTTGATATTATTATTTTTAGTTGAATATGAAAATTATGGTGGATTTAAAAAAAAATCTTTATCTAGTTATGCCATCCGTTGACATTGATATTTGGCATATCATTATGTTATTATTAATAGTATATTATTCTTTAATATTGGCATCTTTCTAATTATTTTTAATGGAAACATCCTCAGAGTAAATAAAAATCGTTGTCGTGGGGCAAACCCCCCACCCTATGCATTATTGGCTTATTTATTATCATTAATGACACCCAGATAAATTGATCACATATTTGTAAAACTATTGCTAAAGCAAATAAAACTTTAGGATCACACGTCATACAAACATTTCCATGACCCAGATACACTTCAAATTTTATATGATTCCACTACTTTGAAATAAACTTAATTAATTGACATAGAACTAATTGTGCAAAAATGCCAAGAACAACAACATATTAAATTCATTCGAAAACATGAACATATATTTTTTAACTTGCAAAATTGAGGCAATCAATTCATTTCTTTCCAAGTTTCTCCAGCCAAATCAGATCAATTAGGACGGTTACAAACTCTATTTTTTTTCTTTTCTTCACCATATTGCCATCTCTGTACTTCAGTCGATTGTGAGTGAATTGTGAATAAAATAACATAAATAACATATATAATCACAGTAAAAACGGGAACAAAATACAACATGAAAGTCTGGTTAGCATTCACACCACCCCGGAATTTTCGATATTACTCGGGGTAATTAGGGATAAGACACATCATTCACGCTAATAAATTACGTTCGCACATCAGACTTCATTCACACTACCACAGAGTACTCGATATTCCCTGGGATAATAGGGGATAAACCGTTCCATTTATGTTAATGATATTTCTCGGGAATGTTGGGGATCAGCACCTCCATTCACGCTAATAAATTATTCACATATTCATTCACACAACCTCAGAGTACTCCGTATTCCTCGGGGTAATTGGAGATAAGCCCTTATTCCACGCTAATAAATTACGTTCACAATACCTCAGAAGTACGCGATATTCCTCGGGATAATTGGGAATAAACCTTGCCTTTCACGGTAATAAATTGCATTCGCATTTTCATTCACACTATCTCAGAGTACTTGATATTCCTTGGGGTAATTGAAGATAATCCCATTCATTCACGCTAATAAATTATATTGACACAGCCCCAGAATACTCCGATATTCCTCGGGGGAATTGGTGATAAACCCTGCCTTCCACTCTAATAAATTAAATTAACACATTCATTCACAGTGCCCCAGAGTACTCGATATTCCTCGAAGTAATTTAGGGTCAAGCCCTTCCATTCGCGCTAATAAATTACATTCACACACCAGACTTCATACCTAAGTAAATTTATGCAATTGTTTTCATTTTAAGATAATTGCATTAATAATTTAATATTAATGGTATAGTTTTAATCCGAATTTGAAATGATTTAATTTCATTTTACTTCTTTTTGTAATTGTAAATATTTCTAAATTTACATATTTTTATAAGTTATAACCTATACATTTTTATTGAATATATGTGTAATGGGAAAATGGTTAATTATATAAATTTTTACTCTATTGTAATTGCTATAAACCATGATCATTTTTTTTTTTTTTTTTTTTTTTTTGTGAAGTCCTTTAACAGTGATGAATAAATTGAATTTCTCCTATTATTCGTCTATTGCTACAAATAATCTTTTTAATCGAATAACCATTGTTTCAAATTAATAAAATTGTGATTTAATTTATTTCTGATACATATGGTTTGGGTTCAACACGTCAGTTCTCTGACACGCCTTCATCATAAATAGCGATCTAATGACCAACATTCACGCTTCAGCATCAAAAATCTGTACAATTTTTAGTCGTAGCTTACAACGACAGTATTAATCTTTCAAAAACTTAAGTTGAACATTAACAAGCACAAGTTGCATAAAATTGTACAAATGATGCACATATCAAGTTTTTAGCGTTGTAAAATACCTCTAGAAATAATTGAGGCGGAGGAATATGTCAGTTCATAAATTTAATTTAGCAAGAACAAATTTTGGGGTACGTTTTTGATTTTTGACCAAGATAGGCTTAATTTTAATAAAGTTTTAAACATTTCTAGGTTGTTAGTAAAACTGTCCTTTCCAACCAGTATTATATATCTTTCTAATCCTAAATCCATTTATTATTTTTATGTGGACATATTCTTTTAACGGCATATAATTAATTAGGGCTGTTTGCATTGCCGAAAAGATGCGTAAACAATAAACAAAGTTTTGCAAACATGTGTGGGCTATTGATCAGTTTCCCCTTCTGGCCACCTAATAAGGTTTTAGTTAGCTTTTTTTTCTAGAAATTAGTTTGCCTTGTCATTTGTTCATTTTTGTATAGGTTATTATTTTTGTAAAATTTGGTGATTTACCCTGGTGGATATTTATATATAACAAATGTGTCATCCTCACCCAATTAAAAAGAGGCCATGCGAGGTTGACGACTGGCACTTTCTTTTGATCCAAAACCGGCGTATGTGGCCGCATGCAGAGAAAAGCTGTTCGATTGTTCCACCTAATTGAAGGGTGTGATTCCTTGGCTCCATATAGAGAGCGAGTAGGAATGCAACCGATATGAGAATAGTTTTTGAGCACGGCCTTCTGTCGATTCTTGGAGGAAACAAGGTTGTTCTTCTGCATACAGTAATGATAATTTGGTGTTTAACGTGTGTTGAGAGTTAAACCCCTTCGACCCAAATTAGGTTAGTTATATAGGTGAAAATGGAGTTGGAAAAATATCGAGTTCTCCCTAACTGAGTGAATGATATGTAAATGAGTGAATGAAATGTATTTAAGGGTGAGTGAGACTCTGAAAGTATTTAGGAACTGATTGCGTTGGGGGTGACCTAGCCGTTGATATTCCATGGTGCCCAAACTCAGCAGCTGGACGGAGAAGACCGAGGTCTGACCCCGGACTGCCATCATCTAGGGTTGTGATTCTCTATGCCGTTAATTTATTGTAAATTACAAAAACTTGAATTGCCGGTGTACTGCGGTGTTCATGCGTGTCCAGATTTGAACTTAGGGATAGGGATAAAAGAGGCGGCCACAAGGGCTTCTGCACCTCGACCTTAGATCTATTGTGTTCTCCTGTTTTTTATTGGCCAGCTTTAGGTTGTTAATCAACCTCCATAGCCTTGCCAGCGGTTCCATAGTGTAGGATCTTGCTTGCGGTTTTTCTTGTCTTAGTTGCAAGAACCTGCGCCTACATAGACCTTCACAGAACCATAGAATGTGTTCTGCGGTCTCTTCCTCTTCCTGGCAGTATCTGCACATTGTTTGTTTTGTCTGTACTCCTATCTAATGCATGTGTTTCCTGTGGAGTAGGAATTTACCTTTGGAGAAGTTCCTTTTACCCATTCTTCACTTACAGGTCATTATGCTGACTTCCTTCGGGCCTCCATGTAGTTCCAAATACCCTTTGCCTTCGCCTCGCATGAGTCCTTAAATACTTACCTCGTACTTTTTTAGTAAAATTGTATTTTGGAGTGGCTTCGATTTGCATGGTTTATATGACAGCCTGTATCTCCTCCCTCAGTTTCCATAGTTTATTTACATGGCCTATCCTAGCAGATGGTTGTCCATTTATGAGCCTGTGGACTGCTGCTCTGGCTTCTGCTTGTATTAAAAAATATGAAATGGTTGGAGATTTAACAACACTTTAGCTTTGAACTTATATAAATCAGTAATCTATTTGATATCCAGTCAGATAACGTCTATATTGTCCTTATGTCATTTAACTTATGTACGTTCATATGCCGATGAATGATGTAAAATGTGAGCTGATCATTATGATCATTCCCTGATTTGCACGACAGCCGACCGTGTATAATGAATAATTATAAATATCAATATAATAAAAATTGTGTTTAAAAAATGGTTTACATTTAAGAGATAATTGATTAAATTTGTTTAAATTAGATTATTTTAAAATTTGTTGCGTTTCTTGTGACGGTATTCAACAGCAGAGATCCAGCATAACTTTTGATGCCAACCTGTAATATTTTAAAGATTTAAATACGTATAATTAATAACTAATTACCGTTCATTTTGTTTTCAAAAGAGATCAGCGTATCGATACTCGATCAGCATCCAAAATATGCTTTACTATGGTAATTATCGATACCTTTTTTCATAAACTGGCACTCGTTGCTATCCCTACCACTGCACAGTTCTTCTACAGGACACACGTTTATGTTTACATATTTAAATGTACCCACCAGTAGTTTATAAGTAGTGAATTGTCCGTTTAACTTGTAATTTAAACTGTGGAGTAGATTGCACGTGTGTCTGAAATGTACCTGGTTGTTTTTTCGTTCTGAACCGTGTCTATTATGTACCACGGCATTGATATTCAAACAGCATATATGATAAGTACCTCTAACTGTGGAATACCGGTACACGAGCCCTGATATATTTATATATTGCATTTGATTGTACGTTTAATTATACTGTTTTTATTTCCGAAGGCTTTCAATAGCGTTATTCTTACTTTCAGGAATTGGACATTACATGAAAAAAAAATGAGTAAGCAAGTGGGAGATGACCAAGCTAACGAAACTACCTTGAAGGCAGAAAAACCTCAGGATATAAAGGCAATTATCAAACTTCAAAATAATCTATAACAATCAGTTATTTATTGTATAGTAAAAAAAATATAGATATTACAACTCTTGGTTTAATGAACATCAAATACAAAAGTTAGATATTGGCATTATCCATTAAAATTAAATCAATTTTAAGCATGTTTAAGGCCTCTACTGGAGATGTTTACCTGAACTGATAAACAGGAATGTGAGTGTCAACAACTTAAGCACTTATCGCGACCTGTTCAGGTAACTCAGGCTTACTGTAGCCTTGAGTGCTCGGAAAGCATTCTAAATCAGTAGACAGTTTGGCGAGTCTGTGTCAAGATCCTTGCTACAATTAACTGTCGGGTATGAGACCAGTTACACTTCACGCACAACACTACGCGAGTCCTGTATGCAAGAATTACTGAACTAAGAGCGCAAGCCTAATTCCTTGCAATTGAGGTCGCACTTGTAGTGGTACGTGGTGAGACTCCTTGAGAGTAGCCCAGGGGGTATATTTTTGCCCTCTAGATGATGGTTAGTATTCCACTTAAACAAAAAATCCGATGCTGGCCCGTCTGTCAGAAGTACCTTCGCTAGGAGCTGTCTTCTCTATCGATCGGGAGTAGCTTTGTCTGCAAGGTGGTCTGCACCCAGCCTTGCAGAAGGGCCAAGCCTTTTTCAAAGCTCTACATGAAAATTTATGTTATTGTACTCCCCACCGTAGATGGAAGCGTGTCACCTCCCTTATTGAGAAACGATCCTGTGCTCGTACGGGGGACCGATATGGCCCTAGGCCTAGTCACAGTCTTAAAAAATCCTCATGTCCTTGTCAGGACATCGAGCAATATTGGGAAAGAATGTTCAGGTAACTAGACTGAATCGAAATTCGATTCTTTCTACCTGCACAGTTTTCTATACCGGAGTGTTTGTGAGGCTCATCTGATGAACTCACATTTTACATTTTTGTTTGTGCTATTTTTCGATTTTGTTACCAAAAGCGCAATCGAGTTATCGAAGATTTGAGTTGTATAGATCAAAACCACGATAAAAGCAAGGAGTACCATAAGAGATGCTGCTTATGAGATCTAGTTGACAAAGCTAAAGGGTTTGGAGACATGTTAAATGAATCAATTTTAAAAATTAATTATCTGAGGAGCAAACCAATGAAGCTAAAACCTCTCATTTACCATACCATGTATGAGCTAGTTACCTGTGCGGGTATACCTCTGCAGTTTATCATTCAGGCAAACCGCATGTGAATGATCTGCCTAATGACATGTTATTCAAATTATGAATCTTCCTGTCTGAATGTTTAGCATACAAGAAATAGTAAATTTTTTAGATCAAATTAAGGCCAGTTCTAAAAATGTCTAATAGTGTGTATTTTTATCCTAAAGAATTTGAAGATGACTGGTTTGAGTTTCCAATATATAGGTAACTAGAAAAGTTTGTGTGGTTAGCAGCATAGGCGGATTATATGTTTAAATCAGGTAATATCTTGAGGATAATGCATCAGTTCATAAAGCAAAAGTGTCTTGAACATTCATTGTAAATTACAAAATATTTTCTTCGTGCATGCACAAATTATGGGTTTTGGAGCCATGAGAAGGAAAATATTTTGTAATTTACGCTTGGTACTGTTCAATAATGTCGAATTGAGGGAATCCATCAAAGTTTATTTGAATCAAATATGTCAGGAGCTTGCCAGAATGTTCGACATAAACAATTAAACCTTTTGCTCTAGCATACATTGACTTGGGTCGTGGAAGCTGAGCAAACGTGTTCCTTATAAATTGGCCGACATAAAATTCGTTGTCTAAACATTTGCATTTCATTGCTTTCACAGCATAAAGTAGAGACATTTGTTGACTGGATTGTCACATGCTATCAAAAATGGATCTTGTACAATGTCACAAGGAGGTCATATTAATTGTCACCCAATGACCATTTTACATTGATGCAAAAACAAAATATTCACCAACAAAAGGTCATGTTTTGTGTTTAGTGGAGTACAGCAGACCTTACACAGCCAGAACAGCAAATGAGGTGATAATGAATGGTTGACTCGGTTGGGAAGTCCTACCACACCTCTCCAGACCTGGCTACATCTGATTTTTACTTTTTAATAGTAATGGAATATGCTCTATTGGGAGTTCGATAATCGTCAACAGATGGAAAAAGAGCTGAATTTATTTTTTAAGTCCCAGGACTCAAACCTTTATAAGAAAGGCATAACTGGCCTATAACTTATTGAGAGAAGTGTGTAAATGCTGATGGAGACTATTTTCCTGAAAAAAATATTTCTAAACTAATTTTGTTAATAATTAAACCTGCACAAACTTTTCTGTTACCTGGTATTTTCTTTCATCCTGTATTCGAGTACCATCGATTTTTGAACTGATGGTCAAATTCTGCATTCTGCCAATTTAACTTTTTTTTATTGTTGTAACCTCTGTTTAGATTATTATTTGTTTATTTTATTTATTTGTTTATTTTTTCAATTGGCTGTACTTCTTGCTGGAAAAATATTCTATACTTCACAGTCAACTTTGAATTAAGTATTTGGTTTCTACTCTGTACTTTCTTGCATTTATATACATCAGTGTACCAACTCATTGTATCTATTTTTTTATTTTTTAACATTTCAGAGTTATTTCATTCACAACAAATTTTTCTATCACTTTGTTGGGTATTTTTGTTTAAACTTGGACTTCTTTTTCTATCTTTTGTTCATGTCATCCCTTGGAGTGAGCCCATAATTATCTTGTTTTATGGCTCTATTTATGTTTTAATTCCTGCAACAGAAGAAGAATATGCTGCTGTTGCTAGTGTAGTTTCATCAGCTATCAATATTGGCATTATTTTTTTTTAAACCCAAGAATGCTGTGAACATGCATGCAAGGTACACATGGACGTGAAAGGCAACCATCCAGTGATGGGAGCTGTTAGTTCACCAACAGGGTCACTTGGTAACTATCCCTTGCCATCGTTAAGAAACTAAGTAGTCGCAGGCCAATGCCGCTTCAGTCTCTGACAAGTATTGACGAACAGGGTTGTAAATCACAATTACCAAATTAAGGGGTTCGAACGATCAGGTAATTTCGAGTGAAAATTATTGTAATGGAATTGGGCAAGGTCAGATACGAACAGGATTTGTAAGTCAGTATGAATTGTATGACTAAAAGGGAGCGTTAACTATCGTTTGGAAGATTTTAGATTGTAAAGTTTGGTGTCTGTTAAGGTGGAGATGTTTAGCGGTTCCGTACAGTTCATTCCGTCGTCCTTAAGGGCAGTGTATATTTTTTGTTTGTAAATGTAAGTTTATATCATTTAAGTAGTCTTTTTAGCAGTCTGAATCTTGTATTTAAATTTTTATGATGAGAAAGTTGTTCTTCTTATTGCATCCCCGTATACCCTTCCAGGTATCCTTCCTGATTCTTGGATGGCTTTGGCTACTCGTAAGAGGAAACCCGATGCACTGCTGACGACCTTTCTCCTTCCATCATCTTGGGCCTCCTTGGCTATTCACCTTGACAATAGGAAAAATCATTGTCCTTGTTTATTTTTATACATTGGGAAAGTCATTCTGCTTAATGCAGCCTCGAATTCCTTTCCCGGGTCCATTCTGATTACTTGATCCAAGATGGTTTCAGCTGCCCACGAGGAAACTTCAGTCTTGACTTGGCTGCTTACTTTCCCTGACTTTCCTCTCCTCTCTCCAGGGTTACCCAATGCTTTCCACTGCTAGCTAGGGAAGGGGGCTTAAACTTTAATTTTAAAACACTCATTGGGTCTCGGATGTTAAACCCTGGTTTTGTTAAACATTTTATATTTCATTGTTCTCATTCAAGCACAGTATCTTTTTTATAAATTCATTAATTTGTTTAATTTTTAAGTAATAACGCCACTACTTGTAATCAATAATTCTTGACAGATTTTTCTTACTTGATATCTTGAGTATAATTAACTTGTAATGTTTTACCAAAGTTGATCTAGTTACTAAGTAAGCAGTCATTATCTTTCAAGGTTGACAGATATTTTGTGAATTTGTCTTAAAATGAACCTCACTTAATAATTTAATCAATCACATTGAGTGAAGCACTGTTAAAATGCTCTCAAGAAAGGAAAGAAGATTTTAGAATTTAATTTTTGTATAATTGAAAAGGTTGTTAATATATACAGGAATATTTAAGGTGGAGTGAATACCATAAATAATTGACTAAAAAACGATAGTTATACTTGCAAACTATTTTTTTTTCTCTTCAGTAATGCGGGTTTGGAGCCTTAAATGCTCATCATTAGATTAAATCCATAAGTGCGTCTTTCAACGCAAATTGAAATTGCCATTTTTTTTTTCATTCGATTTATTGTTTATATGCATAAGTTTGTTAAAAAAGTTTAAATGAATTTTTCCTTCCAGCTACAAGAAAAGCCGACAAAGCGTTCAAGGGAAGAGAAAATGAGAAAAAAGGATGAAAAAAGCGCTGAATATATGTTGAAAACATTGAATAATTTGTCTACTCCTGAAGAAAAATTAGGAGTAATGTACCAGAAGTACGCTGAAGTGATAAATGATCACAGAATGTTACAGGTACCATTAACAATGCCCATCTTCTTCAATTAATTAAGCTTCTTAATTATATTGTATTGTAGAACACAATAAAAGCATTGGAAAAGAAATTGAATATTTTACAAAAGGAAAAAGAGCAGTTACAAACGGAACATAATAAAGCCATTTTGACAAGAAGCCGTTTGGAAAATCTATGCCGTGAACTACAAAGGCAAAACAAAGCTATCAAAGTATTAATAATTACAATATTCCCAATTGAATTTATTTGATTTAATCTAAAAATGATGGTAGGACGAGAGCATCAATGCAATGAAAGAAGAAGAGGAAAAAAAACGAGAGGTAGCAGCGATGTTTCACTCGACATTGACTGAACTTGGAAATTTAGTGTCAAAAAACAATGATAAAAATAACAAACTTAGAGATGACAATTTAGACATGTCGACAAAACTGAAAAATGTCTGCGAACAGTATGAAAAGAAAGAACAGGTATTTAACTTGATACCATTTTTCAAAAATTGAACTTTATTAATTCCCTTTTCATTTTATTTGTTTTTTAAATTGGATTTAGCATGTTGATAAATTAGCTAAACAGTTAGAATTAGAAATGCAACTTACAGAGGTCAAACTAGCGAAGGCACAAATGGAGATGGCCATTGAAAAGGATACACTAAATAGAGAAAAACAACAACTGCTACTGGTACGAGTGATTGATTGATCTTTATTAATATAGTAATATCTTATATTATCATTTGAACAGGAACTCGCACAGTGTAGAGCTATAAATGAAGAACATCAAAATACAGAACAAGGATTGAGAAATCAGATACAAATGTATAATGACAAGTATGACGAATTTCATAAAGCCCTTATACAGAGCAATGAAGCTATTAGCGGTTTCAAACAAGAAATGGAAAGGGTAAGTTCAATCAGCCTTTGTAAGTTTATTCTTAACACTTGAACCACCGTTCGTGGGTCTTTGCAAACCCACAGAATATTTCTTTTTTTTCTCTTTACTTTTTCTCTCCATTAGGTCTTTCCTGAAAATGTATAAACATGAAAAATTGTATTTAATAGTTGCCTATATACATACTAAATAAATTAACATTATAAAACAAACCAAATAAAACAAAAACACCTTATTATTGTAGTTTTTTGGTGCAAGTGTTAAGAACAAGGAGTGAGGGAAAGTGGAAAAAAACTATATTTTTTATATATTTTTTCATTTTCAAATTTTATAAATATTCTTCTGGTTATTCTATTTTATTAAATATTTGATGAATTTGTTTGAAATTTGTTACTACAAAGCGTCATATTTTCATATATGATGTTCATCATCATAATTGTGAAGATATAACAACAATAAACATTTGGAAATATTAAAAATGATGTGTGTTCAATGATGGTACAGATTTAGCTAGACATCATCAGAGTTCCTCAATAATGATTTGCTCAAATGAATCTTCTTTAAGCAGAACTAATAATTTGTACTAGTTTGTTTGATCTGTTTTTAATTTTATTTATATCTGTAATAGCCAAATAAAAACAATAAATATTTATTGTTCATATTTTGTTCACTGCACTTTTAGATGGCCAAACAAATCTCAAAATTAGAGAAAGAAACTATGTCGTGGAGGACAAGGTACGAATCAACCCACACAGCACTCTTAAAAATGACCGATGAGAAGCTTAGCAGTGACCAAAATGCCTGCATTACCCTCAGGAAGTTGACTGCGTTGCAAGGGCTCTGCAGAAAGTTACAAGAACAGTGCACTTTCCTTAGGGATGAATTGAAAAAAAAGGGTTGTAAGTTTGAGTTATTTTATCTTATTGAAATTTCGTTTTTAGACAGGTTACATATCTCGATTTTTTTCCCCCAGTTAATCCAGATGAGCTAGAAAAGAATCAAACTCAAGCCAACTCCGATAAAAAGTTAGTCAATGACGAGGAGAAACCCTTAGAACATGATAAAAAAAATTTGGTTGAAGACGAGAGTAAACCTATGAATGCGTCGCCATCCCAGGAAACTGATTTGTCTGTGGTAAGTTTAGCGAATTTTATTTTAATAGCCATTCACCATCTACAAATGACTCATTTATCTTTAGAAAGAACTAAAAAGTGAAGGCGCTGAGCGAAATGACGATTCTTCTCTCAATAATGCAGTAATACTTGCAACTGAAGTACTGTCTGGGGAAGCAGTGTTAGATTCGCCCTCATCGCAGCCTAAAACTCCACAAAATGAAACTAGTCCAGTCACTGAGCACTCGCTAGCTAATGACAAAGATTCAGCCAGAAGTGATCAAGCTGGAGAAGAGGAGCTTCAAAAATCTCAAGAACATCTTGAAAGTAGTGCTGATGAAGAGGTAAAGAGAGGTGAAACCAAAGTCGAAGACCAAACACAGCAAAAGAAAAAGAACAAGATAAAGAGAAAATCTAAAAAATAATAATTTTTTTTAAATTGTATGTTACCTTAATAATAATAAATAAATGCCCTTCCATTTTTGAATTTTTCAAAGTTGCTTGACAAACATCATCTCGAACTTAGATCACTCAATATAGTTAATTCACATATTTTCTAATATTTTAGAATGATTAATAAAGATCCTCTTGAATATTAATTAAAATTTAAAATTAGCCTTGTTGATAGCATAAAATATAAAATTGAAAATGATTATAGAGAAGAATCAAGTCAAGATTAAAAATTAGTAAAATAAAAGTCAAACTTTAGTTGATTTGCTTTGTTCAATACACACATTTAAGCAAATTTGCCTAGCTTGCCTGCTCAAGAAAATATATCGTGAGGTAAATAGGGCCTAACTTGTTGGAAGGACCGAGTCAAATTAGGCTTACAAAATTAATGTATTTAAAATAGTATTGTTTACAAAATTTTTTTACAGATTTGTTTTAAACAAGCCTGTCATTAGTTCAATTATGAAAAGCACATTTTTATTACATAGTAAAAATTCTGATACATCAATACTTTCAAAAAAAGTCTGTAGTCTCTCATGCTATATGCATAAAAGCATGAGAGACAATCAATAGTATATTTTATATAAACCAATTTTTTGATTTCTGTTTGAAAACATGAGTTAATCAAAAGTAGAAAAATAGCTCAATTTGTTTTTAATGAAAATTTGTTAATAAAACCCATTTTGATAATTTTTTTATTGTTGACATTCCTGTCTTTCAGACACAAAATAGTTTCACAAAATGTTTTAGTTATAAAACATTAATTTATGCATAAGTATTAATAGAAGTGCAGGATTGTTTATTTATTCAGTTTTTAATCAAATTCAACCAAAATGAAATTCTTCAGTTCTTACGTTATTTTTCGAACCTGGGATTACATTATAGTGATGAGCCATCGTATCATGCCTAAACATTGCGGCCACCAATCCATGTTTGAAATGCTTTGTACCTAAGGATTTTGATCTTTTTGTAGCAAGATGTATTTAGATGTGTGATATTGAAAATAATAAAACTAGGAACATAGCCCAGTTTGTACTTTATACACAAATAAAGGTAAGAAAATAGTTACTGTGTGAACTAAAACATTAAAATGTCATTCATAGTACAATTTTTCTTTCAAAGTATGAATTTATAATTATGGGATTTTCTTTTCTTCAGTCTGGTGATGTTTTGAACTCAGGGCAGCTGGATTCAAACATGTACATTACAGAATGAATTGCCAAGTCAACACCTTAACTTTTGCTGCCACTGACGCCCGAGTTCTCATGTTTAAAATGCTTTGTCCCTAAGGATTTATGCACAGAGCAAGCTATACAGTCTACAGACTAGCATACTTAGTAACTATAATACAACTAATTATATAATAACTTGGTATAATAAAAAAGCATTCCTGCATTCCCACTGGCATAATTGCTTTCACACATTTATTTACACTACCTCAGAGTACAGGTTAATTGGGGATAAGCCCTTGCATTCATGCTTATAAATTATGTATGTGTGTGGTGTTTAGTGACTGTTAATTGATGATTATTTAGAGATCGTAGGATGCGGTCTGGTGTGACATAGGTCTAGAAAAACATTTTCTTTATAGTGCCAAAGTTTCAATCTTTGTTGATATCATCTTTAGGGCTCAAAGTGTTTTCTGTGTAGATGTGGCATTACTGTGTGACTGTGTGTTGAAAGTGCCCTTGGGCATAATTGTACTCACACATTCATTAACACTATCTCAGAGTACTTGATATTCCTTGGGTTAATTGGGGATAAGCCTCTCCATTCATGCTAATAAATTACATTCACACATTCATTACAATGCCCCAGAGTATTTGATATTCATTAAGGTAAGCAAGGATAAGCCTCTCTATTCACACATTCATTAACACTACCTCAGAGAGCCTGATATTCCTTTGGTTAATTGGGGATAAGCTTCTCCATTCACGCTAATAAATTACATTCACACTACTCCAGAGTACTCAATATTCCTCAAGGTAAGTGGGGATATACCTCTCCATTCATTCTAATAAATTACATCCACTATTATTGTTTTAAAAACATTTTCTTTTATGTTGAAACAAACAGTAGTGCTATATTGTATATTGTCATGTATTTTAAATAAATAAATTATATATCTAGAAGATTCTTTGATCTTCTACCTGATATATCGATAGATGACCAATGAGTGTCGAGATACTTTCGATTGTCGATTATCGATCTTCCTGCTCGATGAATCACTCACCAGTGTGATATCGGTATCACGTCCAAAATGGCAACACAAATTAGGGAGTAGTGGATTACTTTTCACCTTCAGTATTAACATGTCGATCTTTAACGCTTAATTCAATATATTTCATTATTTGTTTAAGTAATCCCTTGCATTGGGACTTTACCTTGTGCACTGTGCAAATGGAATTTTAAATTGTCTCTGTAATACCATCGAATTCCAACAATGTAAGTGGCCCATAAATACAATTTTATTATTTCACAATTCCGGTGTTGATGTAATTATTTAATTAATTATTTCAGAATATTCGGATTGGTATTTTTGTTATGCAATATTAAACAGAACTGGAGTATTCACAATGTTTTGTCTCAATAATTGATGTTAATTATGTTTAATTTATCTTCTACATTTTATCAATACAGGCTCTTTTGCATTACAATCCATAGTTTATAGTTAGAAAATAATAGTATTTTTAGTTTTGAAAATCAAACTTTTTTATTTGGCAAGAGAAACTATCTAATTAGTTAATGACACCTGCTTTGCAAACAGACTAAAGGATTTGAAATTCTCTTTATATTCTTAATACAGATATTTGTTAATATACAGTTTTTTATAAACCTTTGGGACTAAAACAAAAAATGGCCCATTAGCTGTGGCAGTAATACCCAAATTATCCTATTTCACTTATCTGGTAGACCAAACGGCTCAGCGAGAACAAACCCAAATATTAGGCAGCATACAAGACTGGCAAATCTATGTATCACATAGGCAATGAAAACAACTACGTCAACGCAACTTGAAACACTGTTAAATCTAGCTTCATTAGAAATATTTATACAAGAAGAAGCGAGGAAAAGCTCATTTAGGCTTTTCAACAGCAATTAACAAGCTTGTCAATCAAACTGGATGGGTACTAAACACTGGTACACAACAATAATCAATACAGTCAGATCCCCCATTCTTATAAATGGGGACTGACATCCCGGAAGTTCTTTTTACGACATCCTATAAACAGAATAGAAAGGAGAAAAAGAATTCAGAAGGTAATCATAACAACGTGGTACGCCGATGGCTCGTAACTGAAGGAACCGGATCAGGCATTTTCTTTACATACCTACAATATGAGTAATCACTCTTGATCTTTCAAGCTGAAATACTTGCCATCAATGCTCGTCCCTTAGAAAATCTCAAAAGACTGACAAAATAAAATCCTCATAAAATTGGATTACCAATTATTAAGGCATCACCATTAAAAAATAATAATAATAATCACATCAAAATTAGTCAGTGAATGCATCCAAAATCTCCAAGTTATGGAGAAGCACAACAACCTGATGAAATCTGACACTCAGGACACAAGGGAATTTGGGGTATGAAAAAGCAGACACATTGATTAGAGGAGGATCCGCAAGACCATATATGGGCCCCGAACCTCTTCTTGGGATAAAAAAAGCAACAACAAACAACGCGGAATCCTCAAGACACAAACTTAAACTAAGACAACCCTCACCAAGACTGGCAAACTCACTACTGCAGTTAGTAAGTGCTAAACTCAGAGAAGTGGTCTATAGGTAGGAAAACAACTACACAACATGTGTATATTTATTCATGACCCCATTTCTAGGCTATGCAGTTAGGAAGAAACAGGGAAAAGAATTGTTGCGATGACAATGACATGGTATCATTAGGAGAAGGATCGAGTGGTTCGCACTGAACTAAGGAACTAGGAAGGCTTATTAGCCCAAAGGCTGCAGTGCTTGACGAACAAAATCACTGACTTTCTAGTATCCATATTCATCATCATCAGAGGTTGGGCGTAATGTGGGAAAATATTTCTTTATAAAGACGGAGCAACAATAGTTTTTACAGAATCTTACTGATTACATTGGTCATGGTCATTGGTCTGTAAAGAACTAGGAAGTTCAGTAGGTTTGGTTTAGGAATAATCTTTAATTAAGAGAATTTCCATAATTCTATATAAAAAAAAGAAAACTACATTTTTTTTTTCAACAACCTTTTTGGGACAGATTTTAGGATGCTAAAATGTGTTCCGTCGGCCTATGGTTTTTTAGCCTGATTTATTTTGCATTGTGCATCGAAATTTGAAACATTCACTTTTGAAGTGCACCAATTCCGTTCAAAATTTGACAATACATTGCTCAGATATTATAGTTCTCAGTAGAAGTAGTAAAATTTATATTTCATAAAAACTATTCATTATGTATATTAAAATATAATTTTAAAAAATTTATTACTGATTTATTTAGCTCAATTTTGTACACAAAGAGTACTGGAGAAAAAATATATATACAAAAAATATTTATAAATAGGACAGCAAAAATATAATATGAAAATTAGTGTGTACATAAAGGATGTAAAACTAAAAAACTAAGGTTATTGGGCAGACAAATAATAAAAAAAGAAAGACAATAGGGTATATGGTAGGAGAGTGTGTAAAAGGTTGGGAAGCCAACAATTAAAATACCAGTCAAGATTTCAGGGCATGATAATTTTAGCTGTAAATACAATTGTGGGGAAACATGAATGTTTTCTTCAGGAACAGAGAGTTGAAAAAAATAGAAATATTCAAATTACACTTCCAAGAACTGTAAGATATGTAAAATTTATGCAGAATTTCCCTTTTTTTTTGGGGGGGGGGGGGTGTAATATGTTAAATATATCACTGGAAAATGTTTTAAGGATTAACCCTGGATGCACCATCTGAGATAGAAAACTAAATTTTGTCATTCTGACTACAAGGTCTCAAACAGCATTGCTAAGGGGAAATAAATAAAACAATGGTCTGAAATTAAATAATAAATACAATATATAAGATAAAAGAATATACCTAAAATGATCTAGTTCAAATTAAATGCATAAGAGGTAATACTAATGAATGAATATGGTGTCAAAATTAATAGATTTTTTAGGAAGGGTGTGGGAGGTGTCTGATACACATTGGATACAACCTCAGCTCAAGTGATTCTTTGAGTGTCAAGCTAGAGCTTTTAAAATTGAAAAAAATTCAAATCAACTCATCACAAAGCCTGGGGAACATCTAAGCTCGAATGAGATAACTCATGAGTTGAGTTAGCAGGGTTCGCCTTGCTGTCCCTGCAAAAATACTTGTATTAAACAAATGTACATATTGATTATATATCAATTTATATGATAGTTTGCTTATTGTTGTTGCGAGAATACGACATTCCTGACATCTAAAATAAGGATCCAGGGGGATTTGGAAGGATAGGTGGATCATATCTGATTGTGTTTGTTTAGCAAAATGAGAGAATGGAGGAAAATATACTCTTAAAATTATTTACTAACCATCTTGACAGTTAGGAAAGGAATGGCAGTCTATAAATGAGGCTGAAAATCATTCAATATAGTGAGTTAGGAAAGTACGAAGGTATGATTAAGAGATGAGTGGAGAGAAATCTGTTTTGGAAGCTTTGACCCACATAGGACTAGACTGACATGATCTGATAATCATGGACTACTTAATCAGCAACACAATTATGCAAAGTGTAAGCCTAAAAACACAAACTGGAGTGGTGTCACTTGGTATTGGTACAATTATATGATTCTTTCTGATGATAAATACCATAATTAAAGATGCCCTCAAGAAGCGAATGCCATCCCTATTTGCTTATAGATTTTTATTGAAGACTGGTTTATCTAGGCTTACTCATTTTTTTATGACACACATTCATTCATTTTGAGGATTTATTTAACATTTTAAGTGATAAAACAATCAGAATATGATTTATAATCATTTTTCTCATAAATATTTTATTTAAGTGTGGAGTAATTTTTTTTTTTTTTTTGGGGGGGGGGAGTAATAAGGATTTTAAAAATCTTCTTCCACTGCAATCTGTATAAATAGATCTATTGTAAAACCCCATAAATTATATACTTTGGAAAATGCACTTTTTCCTATAAGACTAAACGTTTTACTCAGTGCCTTTTTGTACACCTCTTTTGTTGTGAAAATAGCCTTACCGATGTGGCTGTTCTGTAACGGCTAATGTTCACTTTCTCAAAGGACAACCTGTAGCTTAGCTTGATCATCTTTGATCTTCCATCAAAATGCTAAAATGTGCAACCATTCCTTGGAAAAAAAATTTTTTTTTAAATAATTCAACTCAAGGAAAGGAAATCCTTAATCCATGTTAAAGAGGGAAATATAGACGGGTTGGGAAGTTGGGTGTTTTTATCCAGGATATCGCAATGCATCTGATAGACAAAACTAGTGAGAAATAAGCAGTTCATGTTGATTTGAGACAATCAAGATCCCTTAATATTTTTATATTTTTTCATATGTATTAATAAGTTTAACAATATAGGCAAGGAACACTGATGGACTTGTCACATAGCCTGACTCTTAATGAGGATGCACTAAAGCAGATACCAGAACAAAAACGACCGATTTTTGTTTTCGAATGGCTCAGGTTTTTAGACAAGGTCCTTATTGCTGCTCAAAAGGTACTTTAAATATCTGTACTTTATTTTATTTAACGATATTTTTTCTAACGGATTCTTTTTTGTTGTAAAGAATGACATTAAAGATTGCCAAGGCCGACTTGTCGAGCAACTCATGAATTTGTTGCAAGACAGTCCAGGCCCTCCAACAAGGCGGCTCATTGCACGATGCATGGCTACGCTGTTTTGCGTTGGTGATACATTCCTCCTTTTTGACACTGTCAACAAATGTAATGACATCTTGAGAAATAAGGATGACTCTCCTAGTTTTCTTCCGACCAAACTGTGAGTCGTACAAATCAAAGTGAATGTAATTTTTTTTAAAATCGGATCTTTAATTTCAGAGGTGCGATTCGTTGTGTTGGAGCCATGTACGAAAAACTTGGAAGAATGATGGGCCGGTCTTATGAAGAAACAGTGCAAATTCTCGTTAAATCTCTAAGAAATGCCGAATCACATCTGAGAATTGAAATAATGAACACCCTGGAAAAAGTAATTCATCAATTAAAAAAATATATATAATTCTTTTTTTTTACAAATAATTTATTTTTAGTTATATAAAGATGATGATAAAAAATTATAAAAATAAGTAAATAAATGAAAATAATTTGTAATAAATAATTTACTTGTCAAGGTTTGTTGTGGTATGGGAAATGCGATTGCAAACATGCACAAGGAGATTTACAAAGCTGCGAGGCATTGTCTGACTGATAGAGTAATGGTAGTACGATGTTCCGCTGCAAGATGCCTTTTAGAGATGCTGAACCATGCTGCATTTCTTTACACTACTGAACTAGAGAGCTTGGCCACTTTGTGCTTCAGAGCTTTGGATGGGTCAAACTATGATGTGCGTTGCAGTGTCGGGCGTCTACTTGGTACACTAATTGCAATGACTCAAATGCCGGAAAAGCAAAAAAACCTTGGTATATAAAATTTATCAGATTTTTTCATAATTGTTTTTAACTGTCTTGCTTGTTTGTAGTACATAACAACTCTAAACAGCAAAGTGTAACAAAAGGAAGTTGTTTATCTTTAGAAGAAGCTCTTGGTGTTCTCATGTCAGGATTTTTGCGCGGTGGGAATGGTTTTCTCAAAGGTACCGGTGAAATAATAAAAGGTAGCTCAGGTGTCAATCGAGAAGTCAGAGTTGGAGTGACACATGTAAGTATCCATTAATAAAAATTAAATTTTTCCTCAACTTAAAATTTTTTGCATTTGTTTTAGGCCTATGTTGTATTTGTCCAAATGCTTGGAGGCGAGTGGTTGGAGAGGAACATGACCCCGTTGTTAACACATGTTCTAGAGTTGGTTTCAAACCCAAAAGCAGCCTCTTCTCATGTCGATGCGGTATATTCGAGAAAATGCATTAACTTTACATTACGTTCCACATTGGGGAAAATGTTGGGTGAGAAAGCCCAAGCTTCTGCTTGCAAAGAAATAGCGGCAATCATCAAGGCACAAATGAACTCCATTGGTAAAAATAATCATTAATAAATTTTTTATTAATAACAATAAACTTCATTAAAAGATAAATAAAAAAAAAACACCCAAAATTTATCTGTAAATCATGATATATTGTTGATTAATTTCCTGTAACGAATCACAATTTTTTTTGCAGACTTGAGCCTTGAAAACGCTAAAGACTGTAACCAAGAAACTCTATTTGGACAGCATTTGGTCGTGTGCGCTCTGCAGGAAATGGCTTCCCTTATTTTATCACTTGGGACAACAGCGAGTAATCTTGTTTCAGATCCAGCAAACAGTAAGTTCAAAATGTTTGATTATAGCATAAAAAGGATGACATTAATTTGTTTTGTTTTAGACATTCTTGATGTGGTCGTATCTGTTTTGGTTCATCCATGCCAAGCAGCAAGGCTTGCAGCTGCTTGGTGTCTTCGTTGCATTTGTGTTGCCATTCCCAGTCAAATAACACCTTTAATCGATTTGTAAATATTTTGTTTTAAAAACGATTTTTATGTTAATGGATTAATTTTTGTAATTTACATTTAGATGTATCGACAGTATTGAGAATATGAGAACTTCGCCTGAGGGAATTTCAGGATACAGCTTTGCCCTGGCTGCTGTACTCGGTGGAGTTAGGTTGTCACCACTTGGTGTTCCTCACACCAAGGGAAAAGTACGGTTATGATTTTTTTTAAAAATTTCATTATTCAAATAATAATACTGTGTGAATATAGGTTATCTTCAATACTGCTGAAGAACTGCTCAGAAGTGCTAGTCAAAACAGTCGTCTGTCATTGAATCGAACACAAGCTGGCTGGTTGCTTATTGGTGCCATTATGACATTAGGTATTGTTAGCTTTAAATAATTGTTTTTTTTTAACACTTTCAGCTCAGCAGCCATCTTTTTATCCGTCGGTAGGTAGTACGTGAATATTATTGGGTGTGTGCATAAGTTTTTTTTTTTTTTTTTTTACAAATTTCGACTTTCATTCTTGTAAAGATTATTATCTGCTAGCCCCTTTATAGCTTTAAGGTAGGAAAAGCACTGTTGAAAGATATTGTTAAGAAATGTTCCCGTGCAGCCAAACCCTTACATCATAGGTATACTGTGCCCAGTAGAGCTTTTGAGGTAGCGTTGAAGTTACTCTATCAGAGTAAAATCGCCAAGTTAGGCTGGCAACAAATGCCCTGCCGCCCATACTCTCCAGACCTTGTTTCCAATTTTTGCTGGTTCCGTTCCTTAGACAACCTTTTAAAAGGTAGGCAATTTTTGAAATGCTCTGAAAATTGGACGTTTTTTTAGGACTTTTTTTTCATCTGTCATCAAGCTTTGATAAGAAAAGCAGATATTTCTGCTACCGGTACGGAGGCAGTGTGTTATAGAAAACAAAGGAAATTATGTTTTCGATTAAAAATAAAACAAATTTGTATCTTGAAAGTTTGATTTTTTTTCTCTGAAAAATGAGAAAACTTACACACACATCCAATATTTAAAAATTTTTGCTCTTTACTCAGATAGTTCATTTTTTCCCGTAAATAATCTAATTATGCTAAAAATTATTTTTAAAAAATAGTGCCCTTTGACTTGATAAAATTATACGACTTGATATCATCTATAATGCTATTTTACTTACCAATATAATTCCTGGTCTATTTTCAATTTTCAAATATTAAACCACTATATTTTTTAGTCTCACTAAAACTAAAACTAATAACTTAAAGAACAGAGTACTTCTTTGAACTTCAATCTAAAAGTAAAGAAACTAGAATGCGATATTAGTTTTCAGTACCTCACTTGAGGTCCAAGAGTGTGATATACTGGCCTGAAAGTGTTAATGAATCACACCTAGTACAACAGCAATATGTTAATATATTTATTATCTAGGTGTTCCTGTTGTAAAAGGCCTTTTACCTCGAATGCTTTTATTGTGGAGGAATTCATTTCCAAGGTCGAACAAAGAATTAGAATCAGAAAAAGCAAGGGGTGATGCTTTTACTTGGCAGGTTAGCTAGAATAATTTGAGTTGCATTTGATCGAAAACATTATTTGTTTAAACATTTTTGCAGGTGACTTTGGAAGGTCGAGCCGGCGCTTTATCAGCCATGCACAGCTTTCTACAAAATTGCCCTGACTTAGTTACAGATGAAATTTCCAAGAGGATATTAACTCCTGTAGAATCAGCCCTGGCAATGCTAACAAGGTATACATTTCTACCAATTATTACTGTTTTTCTTGTAATTGGGAAAATTACAGTTTTTCTTCTTTCAGCATATCTTCCATTTTAAAAACTTATGGCCAGCACTTAAAAGCTCCAGCAGCTATGGTGAGGTTAAGACTTTACGAGACTCTAACACTTTTACCACCAGGGATTTTTGAAAGTAAGCTTAAGTCCCCAAATTAAATCATATTCTCTTTAAACATGTTGACTATAGACATATATTATAAGTGATCCATGTATTATATTTTATTGTCATTTTAGATTCTCTAACACACCTTCTTCGCCTTCTCGTCTCCGAATTTACCCTCAGTGAAAATCCGGCAAACACTACAACATCGTTGCTGCGTACAGCCTGTCATGCGGACGATTCCGTCATCCTGGGGTCTTGGCTACAAGAGACAGATCATCGGACGATTGAAGACCAGGTAATATCAAAATTCTTTATTGTATTTCATATTTTGATCAAATATTAAACACTTTCCCAATAACTGCTGAGAAATTAAAATTTTTCATTTTATTCAGTGGAAAAAGTTTTTCATTTTATATTTATATATTTCAAATAGTAAAATCCATGTATTAAGCAAACATTTTCCCATTCTTTTTCTCTTATTGCTTTCAAAGATGGAGCCAAATAGGAAAGCAGATGGTGATTATGTAAGTAAACATGAATTGTGTTTTAGCTCAAACTTTGACAAGATGGACGTAAATGCGATAAAATTTTATTATTGAGTAATGTTTTGAACTAGGTGATAAAAAAAACTTTATCTTTCATTTTGTAAAAAATTAAATTTGTAAAATGTGTGCTGTAATCATTAAATAATATGCAAAAGTAGTTTGTAATTGTTTTTGAAATATGGATGTTAATATTATAGTTAATAATTACTATTTATTTTTTATTGTTTTGTAACAATTTAATTTTTCAGTTACAGCCAAATAGTGCAGCAGGCTCTGGTGCTTTAGAACATGACTCTTGCTGCTTGTACAGAGCTGTCGGTTCGGTAAGTTTATCTTTAGTATAATCTTCATTTTATGAACTTTTCAAAGTAGTTTTATTTTTTATTAACTTTTCAAAATTATGGTCTGGGATGATCTCGTGATATTAGCCAGGTCATGTACACTGCCACACCTTTACCAAGCTGCATTCTTAGAAATGTCCGCTTTTACAGTAGGGCTTAGGATGATTTGTCTATTTCATGTTCGCTCCCGTGGAACTGTATGCAATCTCGGGATGATTCAAGAAGATGAAAACTGCCTTTCTCGTCTGTACCGACTCCGAGCATGGTATTGACAATTCAGGACGGATCCTCACTTCTGCTTTTTCTAGAGCAATATACCTTGGAAAAATGGTAGTAATCATCTGGGTACCCAAGACATATCAGGCTGGAGGGCAACGAACTTGCAGATGAGGCAGTGAAATCTGTAATATTTTGCCCTCCAGACCTAACTACCACGATCCGGCCTGACACTACATGTAAGAATATTGTAAGAGTGCATTGGCAGCACCAGTGGGTCAGGTCGTCTGAGAAGCTCCTTCTTAAAAGTTAAGACGACAACTGAACAATAGCTGAAACGAAAGGAAATGATCATGCTTACTCGATCGATGATTGCCCATACCTGTCTGACACAGGACATCTGCTTTTGGGATAAAACCTGCACAGGTGTCTCATTTATAGAAAAAGGTTGCTCAGTGTGTCAAATCTGAGAGTGGCATGCCTTGGTTTCTTATAGGGAGTGAATTAAGGTGGTACTCATGTGGGTAAAGTGTGCCTTTTTAAATAATATTCTATGTATTTTTGAGTTTTTTATATTTTTTGATACAAATTGACGCAAATTACTTGCTATAAGTTTGAAAATTCTTAAATTTAAAATATAATTCTAATTACATACGATAACTTTTATAGATATATATTTTAATTTTTTAGGATGAAGTAGTTCCAGGCCCTTTGCCTCTTGGCGTCGCTGTTATTGATTGTTCCGTTGTACTCTTTGGCTGCATCTTTCCTAGAATCGCCAACAAGCATAAAGTACAGATGTTGGACCATTTCTCAGAATCGATTAAAGCTACAAAATCCTCAAGAGCTGAAGCTTTGACGTTGAATGTTCTTGCGGCACTTCTGGCAGGTCTCAAAGGAACGACAGAAGTCAAAGCTAGCCTAGGTCAGGATGATGTAAAAAAATCAGCGATTTCTCTTATTCTCGTAAGTATTTTTATACTTGATGTTCTTAAAAAAAATATTAATCAAAATGTGTTTTAGAATGCTTTGACAAGCACATCTCCTATGCTCAGATGCGCTGCTGGGGAATGCTTGGGAAGATTGGCCCAAGTCATTGCTGATCCGAGAACAACAGCTGAATTAGCGCAGAATAGTTTTGATAGATTAAAATCGGCCAGAGATGTCGTCAGTAGAACTGGTCATTCTTTAGCATTAGGCTGCATGCACAGGTTTGCAAGAATTTATTTAAGTATAAATTTATGCGTTTGTCTTATGCTTTTTATCATTTTAGATATGTCGGAGGCCTTGGGTCTGCTCAACACTTAAACACTAGCGTCTCAGTTTTGTTAGCGCTCTCTCAGGATTCGACTAGTCCAATCGTTCAAGTTTGGTCATTGCATGCTCTATTTTTGATTGCTGATTCTGGAGGTCCGATGTTCAGGGGTTATGTCGAGCCAACTTTATCTCTCGCTCTCAAATTATTGCTAACAGTACCGCATTCTCATGTCGATGTACATCAGTGCATTGGAAAAGTCCTTGGCGCTGTTATAACAACTGTGGGGCCAGAATTACAAGGTAAAAAGGTTTCCTAGCGTTCCGTCAATGTATTTTGACATGCTTTTAATATATTATTTATTAGGGAATACAAGCTCAGTGTGCTCAATGAGATCGTCACTTTTATGCGCATGTGCAATCATGCAGGATCACAGGGATCCTTTGGTTCAGGCTGAAGCCACATCGTGTCTTCAGCAACTTCACCTCTTCGCTCCAAGACATGTGAATCTATCATCACTTGTTCCCAACCTTTGTGTAAGTATTATATTTATCGCCTGTTTATCACGTACTAAAAATACATATTTACAGATGAATCTGTCAAGCAACCATCTGCTTCTTCGTAAAGCTGCTGTTTGTTGCCTTCGACAGTTGACTCAAAGAGAGGCCAAAGAAGTTTGTGAACATGCCCTTACGCTAGCCATGGAATGTAAAGAAAGTGGCAATCCGGTTGAAGGTAAAAAAAAAACTCTTGTTCAACAGCTTTAATGTTAATAATTAATCAATTTTCCATAGGACTTCTGATTACTGAATCTGGTCTTCCGGGTGCTCTTTTTGCAATGCTTGATACTGAAACTGATCCAAGTCTTATAAAACACATACATGATACACTCACAAGTATGCTGCAAGTATTAGCTGTTGACAACCTCACACAGTGGCTATCACTTTCTAAAGCAGTATTGACTGTGCAAATTGGTAGGTACAGGTTTAAAAAAATATATTACTAATAATTGTATCTAGTTTTTTGTAACTAGCAGAATTTTCTTATTTAGAGTCTATCTCCAACCTAGAAAGTGATGGATCTAGCAGATTGAATGGAAACATCGGTGGCTTTCAAGAAGATGATGACGACGAAGAGACGGATGACAGCGAAGAGCTTAAAACCGGGCAAAAGGGGAGTTTAACAAGAACGGCCGTACAGCCGAGATGGCCAACTAGAGTTTTTTCTGTTGAGTGTATTAGGAAGATAATTGCAGCATGTAGGCTAGGCCACAGTAGACATTTTAATCTTCCATTAGCAAAAGAGTTAAATTCAAATGGCGTGAACAATTCCCTTGTGCTACACCTTTCTGACCTCGTAAGAATGGCCTTCATGGCGGCGACAAGCGATTGCGACCAACTTCGCCTCGAAGGCCTTGCGACCCTTCATGAAATCATCGAAGCTTTTGCAAACGTTCCTGAGCCAGAATTTCCCGGTCATCTACTCTTGGAGCAGTATCAGGCACAGGTAATGAAATAAATGGAAATATTTTATATATTTTTGTTTAAACTTAAAACTAACATTGTAGGTTGGAGCCGCACTGAGGCCTGCGTTCTCAACCGATACTGCACCGCATGTAACAGCTGCTGCTTGTCAAGTCTGTTCTGCTTGGATTGCTTCTGGTGTTGCAAAAGATCTAAGTGATTTGAGAAGAGTAGAACAGTTATTGGTATCATCTCTGACCAAACTACAAAGGTCAAACGGAACACGTTTGTTATACAATGAAAGTTTACTTACTCTAGAAAGACTTGCGATACTCAAGGCATGGGCTGAGGTAAGTTCAACCTGAAATTTAATTTTTTTTCATTTTTACTGATTTATTTTTTTCAACAGGTTTACATAGTAGCCATGGTAGGGAACAATCCTGCAGGAAACAACATAAACATAGATGATGTTGTATCTGCGGAAACACAGATCAAAGTTAACACATATATCAATTCAACTACTTCAAATGAAGACGAAGAGAATGAAGATTTTGGTGATTTTGAGTCAGGAGGTGAATCCCTTCTTGCACTCGTTCAACCAGAGATCAGCAACTTGTCACAGGCATGGCTGGCAGCATTAAAAGACCATGCGCTTCTCTCATTGCCACCAGGTATTTATAAATAATCTAGCATTAAACATAATTTTTTATTTTTTCTTGAATTTTGATTAACATTATAATAAATTAGATTTGCCATTCATTTTCATTGTAAAAATTTAATAATAAAATATGTAATTAGTACTAAAATTATTTTAGTAGTAAAGGGTGCACATGATTTTTATGATAAAAAAAGGCTAGTTTTTCATGGTACATATAGATTTCAATTTTTATAGATAAAACTAGTCTCAAATATAATTTTTATAGTAAAAAACCAAACTTTCATTGTAAGAATTCTTGATACTTGGTATTACTCCACTACCAAACCGTAGTATATCACTCAACACTTTTTTCCCCAAGAATTTGCGAGCCAGTTGCCCCATGACGGAGGGGCATTTTATACAATGGATACGATGGACAGCTGTCGACCGCATTATGCAGCATCATGGCCACCGCTCCTGCATGCTGCGTCACTTTGGCTAAATGCAACACAGTTCAAGGGAGAAAATGTCCATGATAGATTCCACCTTCTCTTTGGTTTGTAATCATTCAATAATTTATATTTGTAATTAATTACAAACTCTAATGTTTGCCTGTAACATTTAAAAATCAATGTTTTGAAATCATTGACTTATTGGTAGTACTTTACCTTGAAATAAAACTTTTTTTTTAAACTAAGGTGTATGCATGGAAGCTCTTTGTTCGCCAAGGATGGTTGAACCTATTGAAAGCATTATTACATGTCTACATGCACTTTCAACTCTACTTCAAACGGAAATGCCTAGACAGCTATTGATGTCTGGTAAAACCTTGGGAATCGAACTTTGTAATGTTCTTCACAGGTAAATAATTATGAAATTTGAAATGTTCATTAGAAATTAATGCTTTTAAAACTGTTTAAGCAGGCTTTTATTGACTCGAGAAAACTTGGAAGCTCAACAGTTAGTTATGGATATTTTGGGGCTGGTGATTAAGGCTGCTCTTGAGGACTTAGAGACTCAGAGGAAAAATAAACTTGCTGGTATTATATTATTATGAGATTTATATTTTCATTGTTATATTCTACTTTTGATGTTTTATAAAGTAAAATGGTATTCATTTTTTATATCAATTTTTTAGAAAGCACTGATATGACTGGTGAGGATTCAGAAAATCTCGGTGAAGGAGGAGCTGACGGTAACGATTTAGAACCAGGGAAATCGTTAGTTTTTGCAGTTCTAGAAGTATGCCTGTGCCTACTTGTACATCAAATACCGGCACTCAACCCTTCAGTCAATAGTACAATGCAGGCTTCATCTCAGCCTCAGTTCTTTGCGGGACTTTCAGAAGCCAAACTCCAATTGGTCAACAAAGCTCTCGATTCAATGGGAAAACTTCCAGATTTGTGTTCACCTCTAGGTAATATATGTTGCATGTGTGTAAAAGTTTGAAATGAAACTTCCTTACTTGCTCGGTAGAGTAAAAACATTCAATGTGATGAAAACGCTACTCTTCCCTATCTCCGAGTGCACCGACAGCTGCTTCTCCCTCACCTCTCTGACTCCGATATTCCATTCCATTTTAATCTCCAGTTTGTACTGTCTATATACATCATTGTTAGAAATAATAAAACATTCGGGCTGATCACGACTGATTACTGATTATTACGTCTTTCTTAAATTTATACACTTGGATTTCGATTTTAATTTAATACATACCTGCTGATTATTATTGATTACGGATCACTGTGCTACTCTTTAAGGCTTATTTTCAATTAATTGTCAAAATATAAAAGCACACGCACAGGATTTATCATGGAGTTGTCTTAATATCACATTTCCTAATACTTTTGGAAACCCGGCTGGATAATGATGAAAGTGTTTATATCCCTAAGTTTGACTTCATCATACAATTGAAACATTTCAGTGGTAACTGGAGGAGTTGCTATTTATAAAAATTCCGACAAAAGCTTCTTTTACTAAAGCCTGTAAATATCGCATGATCAGTCAATTGTTGCCAATTGCCAATTATTTTCAATGGTGATTTTAATTTTAATTTTTCGTCTAAGGAAGCAACTACTTTAATTGCTTGAAATTTAATTAAAAAAAAAAAACTAATACCAACGTCTTAACTACTAAATTACAAAGCACCATTGATGCTGTATTTGGTAGATACCTTGAGAAATTAGAATCAAGAACATTCATATCATATTTTAGTTAACATAAGCCAACAGTCTCTTTTCTAGAATATGATGAACGATTAATGATTATAAATTAAAATTTTGATATTGATTTCAAACCAAACATGTTCTTAAATGTGGACTTTTAATTTAGGAAGTTTCACTTCTGTAGGGTGCAGTGTGAGATATACAATTTTTTTTGCAAATTTCAATTTTCACCCTTAAAAAGCGATCATTTATTGTATACTAGCCCTGTTGGTTCGGGGGTTGGCAAAGCCGCATTGAAAGGGATTGGTAAGAAAGGGGTAATGGATCTCAAAAGTTAAGTCTAGAATAAAGTGCGGCGACGAGTATGACATGAAAGCAGATAAAATTCATTTAAGGTATTGTTTGCTGTACGAGTTTGATATCGAATATAAAATGGTGGAGTTTGGTGGGATATTCGAAACCCTTACGGAAGAGGTATTCTGTGCTAAGCTCAAGCTAGAGCATCATGAGGTAGCGTGGAAGGAAAAATGTCCAGGAAAAATAGTGCAGATAGCTGCAGTCAGTCAGAGTAAAATCGCTGAGTTAGGCTGGCAACAAACCCCTCGCTATCCATACTCAACAGACCTTACCCCTTCAGATTTTCACTTGTTCCGCTCTCTAGACAACCACTTAAAGGTATGGAAGAAGTTTTGAACAATAATGCTCTAAAAATTGAACTTACAGACTTATCGTCATCATACTTTTAAAGAGGATATTTTTATATATATTATAAAAACTTTTATATTAAAAGTTTGACTTTTTTTCTGATAAATAAACATGCATATGCACACAGCCAATATGTTTTCCTTTATGTGATGACTTTTTTATTAAGTTTATATTTAACTATTCTATATAAATTCTTTGTAACGTAAAAATGTTACTATATTATAAATATTGTTTGCCTCAAACTTCTTCCTGTTGCATGATCCTGTAATATAATTCCATCTTTTTTAAATATTAGAACAATTTCACTTTCAGGAGCTGCTAACATTCTTCCAACTGTATTGTACCTTACGACTGGAGTGTTAAAAGAAGTTGGATGTAGGCCTTTTGCCGTCTCCACCGGAGAATTGAGCGGAGTGCTCCACTGTTTACGAGCCGTCTGCTGCCACCCTTATTCGTTGAACACTAAGACATCTTCCCAATGGAAAGCTTTATTACAGAGCACTCTTGCCAAAATTATAGACCTAGCTAAAACAGGTATGTCGGTTATTAATAAACCTTATTTAAATTTCATGATTCCAATAAAGTATTTATTATTTAGGCAACGATATAAAAGGAGAGGAAATTAGACTTGATGAGGTCACAATGATGATGTCTATAGCAGTTTTTGTACTGCACGCACCACCAGAGGTTGTATCAGCTCCAAACCTTCAATACCCATGTATAAATCATTTCCGAAGGTGTCTTCAGTCTGAAAACATGAATGTAAAAAATTCATATTCCTAACGCTTTTCATTTCTTAAATTGACATTTTAACCCTAACCATCCCTAAATTGACACGCTATCTTATTTTCACAGGTAAAACTAAAAAGCGTACAGACACTGCGGACCATATTTGCAAATACCGAGAGGACAGTGTGCACAAGTTATATCCACGCGCTTGCACCACGTCTGCTCGATCTGTTACATACTAAAGCTGCAAAACAGCCATATTCAGAAGCCGAATTGAAGCTAACATTAGAAACCATTTTGGCAACAGAGGCCCTGGTTCATCTCGCCGAACCTAAACATAGTAAGTGATTCATTATTCAATTATGAAATTCCCCCATAAAATTTGTTACAATTGGTGGATTAATTTAGATTTATTAGTATGCATTATGCACTCACTATAAAAGCACAGAAGCTTATTATTTAGAATAATTTTAAAAAAATTAAAAATCAAAACTTGATAATATTCAGTGCTGTTTATTGAAAAATTGATTAATCACCTTATTTATAATTTTGCGTCCTATAGAGGATTTACTCCAAGGCAAGTCAATAGTTTTTAATTAGTTATAATAAACACTTTAAATCTTAGTTTGGTTGTGATAATTTATTTAATTTCTAGGAATTCAAATGCTGAAGATGTTAGTGCCGGAGTTGGTAGATTGTCTGTTGGAAGGTCCTTCCCTAAAAGAGGCTAACAAATACTGTAAATATCTTCACGACCAGAGCTTGTCCTGGTTAATGAAAATTGGTCCTCAATTTCCACAGGTAATTTTCAATATTTAAAAAAAAATGAGAGTGAGATTAAATTTACAGGTTTGTCAAATTAAATTTGCCCTTTTACAAATCCGTTTTACCCTTTTGCAAATCAATTTCACCCTTTGTGGGACTGCGGTAGCCGAGTGGTTAGCATGATTGACCCTCGGCTCAGATTCCATCGTCATGGGTTTGATTCCCATTATTGCCTCTGGCACTTTTTTGCACCCTTCCCCTCTAATTCGCATATGCATTAATTCATAAGGCCATAAATAAATCACCCTTTTGAAAATCAATTATTTCTATTTTTTATGTTTTTCCATTTTTCATAAAATTCATATAATCTGCAAATGAAAATGTAGGCACCATTTGAAAGACAAAAATTTCATTTTTAAACTCTTAATACATTGATTGTGTCCTATGCTTGACCATTTTGGTTGCCACTGCGGAACCCATCTACCACATAAAATAACTAGTAGTACTTAAAAATAACGATTTGGTTTTTCTTTAAGGAACCACAGTGGCCAAGTTGTTAAGGTGGCCGACTCGTATTTGCCACACCAGTGGTCCTGGTCCTAATCCCGGTGTAGTCAATTTTAATTAAAAATAGTATGAAAAATATATTGCAAAGTGGTTTGATGCCGCGTTCACCACATGCAATTAGTGGACATTAAACCCTATTGTAAGACGAATTATTTTAATTTTTATTTTAATACATTTATCTAAGTGGTATAAATGACGCCACAGTTGCATCTTCCGCAGCGCGTTTGTTCACTTTGGGTGTGTAATTGAATGAAAGTTGTTTCTACTTTCTATAATAATTGTTCCTTTATTTTACCTAATCACCAAATGTATAAATAATTAATTAAAATAAAACACACGGAAAAGCAAATTATGTGGTTTTCATAGAATAAAAAATGGCCATAGCCAGTGACGCTTCTGAGGAAGCCCTATAATTTTTATAGAATATTTGAACGATGAAGTGGAGAGTTTTCAAAAAGTGTAAACAAGTGGACACAAACCATACGTCCACCGCGCCCAGAAGGATATTTGCCATGATACACATGTTGCGGCGTACACATTCACGATGTTAGGAAATTTTAAGAAGCCGTAATACCAAATCATCACAATCCTTTATTTTTCCACTACCCTGCATTTTGATGAAAGTTCGTGTACAACCAAGAATATCAAATTGATGTTGATTGTAAACCAATATCTGTGCCACTGCATAAAGTTAATTTATCCTCTGAATTAAACAACAGACCAATAATTATCATAATACCTAGTTTACCACTTTCTGGAATTCAATTATTATCAGGATGTGACCTTGTAGGGATCAATATGTAATTATGTAATCATTATGTAATTGAATGTGAATGCTTCAAAATAAAAACCTATACCCACTGGGATACTTTGTTTGGACTCTGCCATGGAGCTGCATCTGGGATTCATTTTCTTGCATCTGGGACGCTCCGCAACAATGAGCCTTGAATCTGGTGTGTTGCGTTTTAGTATTTTTTGAATTCCATCATAAATGGAATTCTTTACTCAATGTCGCGCCACATTGACTGAAGATTTACAGATACAGCGATGTTTGTAGAACATTTCCTAAGAGGAATACAAAGACAGGGGAAAGAAAGCAGACATTGTGGCTAAACTAGCCCAAAAATATGAAGTTAGGCTTTGCATAAAAGCCTCCACTTGCAAGGAAACAATAGTGATTGCTAGTATGTTGGTAGCAGAAACTGGCACCTTCAAATTCGTCTCCTTTTTTGAAAAGTGGTCCAATCATTTCCAAAAGACATTCATAATCAACTGGACTCATCCGAACAAAATTTCAGAATCCCATTCCATCTTCCGATCTCAGTGTGACAAGAAGATTGTGCCCTTGATCCTTGAATGTCCCATGAATCCACCAACTTGGTGACTTTTTGTAAGCTCTTTTTTTTACTCCGTAAAATGTAACTGCAATCCCTGAGAGTGCGACCTCATTCAACATGGCTCAGACTCGAATTAGATGTGGTCATGATTTCTGGAGCGACAATGTTGCGGGGCAAAGAATCTGCGACATGTATCCAAGAGTGACAAAGAGTCCAAACAAAAAATTCCATTGTGTATTAGGCTAAAAACAGGCCAAGAATATAAGCACGGAAACGCATTTTAGCATCTTAAAATAAGTTCTGAAAAGGTTAAATAAAATGTCTGATCCTCTTGCCTGCATTACCCAAAAAGGTATTGATAGGAATTTCTTACATTATGATAACTGAAATGTTTATCCAATGTTACTGTTTTAGGAGTTTAAAACGATTGTATCTGAGTCTGCGGATTTAAGGAGTCGACTCGAGACTGCTATAAGACGCTCCCAAGAGACTGGACCAAATCAGAAAATACAATCCAACATGCAACAGCTTACAAACAACAACGAAATGGCCAATCACTTACAACAACCGACTATCAAACTCAAAACGGATTTTAGGAATTTCACATCATAAACATCTGTACAAGCTCAAGTACATAAATAAAAATTAACATTTATTCCAAATTTTATATTTATATATGTTGTTATTTTGTGTACTATATATTTTATTTATTTTTCATGTTATATTCTTGCATTTTGTTAATAAGCACTAATGTTTTTTAAATTAAAATAAATTATTTTTTTGTACTTTAATTTGTAAAAATTTAAATTGTTTATAATAAACTTCAGAAAAATTGAGATAACAAAGAAGAAATTGGTAACGTGAGTAGACTGAACTTGTCTTTCGCTTGTTTGGAATTATTAAAAAAAGAAAACTTTAAAAACTGTTTCTAAAAGAAGAAATAACAGTTTGTATTTCTATAAATTATCGGTACCTAATGTCAATCATTAAAATACACACAACTATTTCTTAAAAAGCACAGAAAAATTAAATAAGTAATATATTGGTTATTGAAGGAGTAGTGACATTTTAAACATCTCTGCAGTGTAGAGCATGTAATTTAATATTTCTTTAACTTCTATAAGTAATTATTGAAAGAGATGTTTCTAGAAATTTAATTAGTATTGCTAAACCCGATTATTAATCATTGATTAATGTACTAGTCAATAATGTGGTGTCAGAGGAAATGTTTTAACAAATAAGTTAAAAAGTAAGTCGGCAGTTCAAATTAATATTTAAAATGTCAATGACAGTTGTGACAAGACGCTCTTAATAACTCGAAGATTGAGTTCTTGTGCATGAAATTAAGTGAATAATGCTAAGTGCCAAGTGTACTACCAACAAATGCGCTAGACGTTGGATCGTTGAAATTATTTTAATTTATTTTTCACCGGGTTTTTCAACCGAACCCTGGGGATCTTTTAAATTTCCAATTATTGCCCTTTTACTACCTCAAATTGTTCAATACTTTTATCAATCTGTACACATATCTTCGTAAGCGTACTATAAATTAATGTTGAGTAGTCTCGGCGGCACTCTACACATCAAAACTAGGTGCTTGAACAATAGAAATACATAGTGCCTTTCTGAAATTACATACAAATCTAATGTATATCTCGCTGTATGACTGATTTATTAGAAACAAGATTACCCACAACAAACACATCAAGGGACGGGAATTAAATCAGTATACGTAAATTAGAAAACAGAATGGTCGATAAGAAAGCAAAAATTAAAATTAATCATAATTAGAGGTGATTTTTTAAATAGATAGTTTTTAAAAAAAAGTATTGTCTTTTTTTACGTAAAAATTTGAAATTCTTATAGAAAAATACGACTTTATATATTTAATCGAAATAAGGGTATTAAATTATTTAGTTAATAAATCTGCTCCTCTGGCATTGCTTCTGAAGCATTTACTTCTAAGGAGGTGGGCAGTGCAATTTTTAATTATTTTTATCTGAAAGAAGGATAACAGTTTTACTGAAAGTTCTTGAAGAGTTGATCTTAAAGGACCAAATCTATTGATGAAAGATGATTTTCATTTGAATTTAAGAACTTACAAACATAAATTTCTCTAATTCAAATCAAGAAATGAAAAATAAGAAAGTGGATGAAAAAAAGTAGGAAAAGTAGACAAGTTGTCTAAATGAACCTTGTAAGAACTTTGTCAAGAAATGGTAGGACAACAAATCTTCATATTATGAGTAGAATCACCTTTACAATTTAATAACAAGATGGATGTAGAAGTAATTGTGTACAAACCTAAAGTCTACCTAATTTAGTTAATAATAATAGGTCTTTTTATAAATCATTAAGCTTTTTTAATTTTTTAGCCCCCATATAAACTATTGACTTTTATTTTTCTGATTAACGTTGGGCTAAATTTGAAATGTAGACAGTAAAATTTTATTTCCAAAAAGAAAGCATTTTTCATTTCGGTACAACTTATAAATAGATTAAATTGTTTACAGTTATTTATATAATTTTTCTCTTGGAAGTATAGTTTACAAATTTTCATGAAAATTTAACATTTGATATGGTAAAAGTATAAGTAACTGTATTAGAATTTACCATTATATATTAGATAAGTGTTTAGATGTTTCCTCCCTTAAAAGACTGTTATGTCACTGTTAAAAGAAAAATATATATGTATATGTAATTTTCCAATCTGTAGAAATAGAGGGATAAAAAGGTTGGAAAAACAATAGATAATTAGTAAATGAAACTGTATTTTTGTGCAGGTTCTTCTTTTCTGTGTTGATAGAAATAAAAAGTTTAAGTCACATGATTTTGTGTAATTTTTTCTTCACAATTGGTAATTTATTACCTATTCTCCTAGTTTTAGTTGTATTGTAATAAAGCGGATTTGATTTAAAAGTTATTGGTTATTAATTGCATTTCCTTCCCACTTCTTATTGCCTTATCCGAAGTCCTACCTAACGAAACTCTGCACGAGTTCTTGGAAGCCACACAGATACAAGCCCGGTGTCACACAAGGGAGTATTCTTGGTCCCATGCTTTTTAACTACCTGCACACCCTAATACCATCATTACCACCTGCTTTAACACATGAAGCCATTTAGTCAGAAGTTCATATAGATATATTCATGTAAAAAAAATGGATTTTCTAAAGAAATTTGATGAAGATGAAAGCTCTGTAAAATATAACTGATTACTGATTTAAATAAGCCCAACTCTAACATTTATTTACATACTTATATGCATGGAGTTGAGCCTGTCACTTCTCACAGTCGTAAATTTTGGGAATTACAGATTTTGTAATTTACTAAGAAGGCTGGCCTCAAGAATCACCTAGGTGTTGGCAGTCAGTGGCCAGACTTGTCTTATATGTCCAGCCACTGAATTTGGGCTCCAGGGGCTACCAACAGCTAGGTCATTTCATCCCCAACACAATCACTCTCCCATTCACACTCACACTCACTCTTAAATACAGTATTTTTGATTTGAGTGTCCATTTGTCAACCTCACATGGCCTTCTCATAAACAGGTGGATCATGTTTTTTAAAGGATTTTTAGCGTCAAAGAGCTGGAATATGTCGGTCAGGCATGGGCACCCAGACCAAAACCACTGTTTTGCCAAGACACTCCAGTTCATGATAATTGTCCAATAAAAGGAATTAAATAACATAATACATGTCATAACAAAAAAAATTAAACAACTTCCTTGGTATTGTAAAGATGCCAAAACAAAATATATCACGGATTATTTTAAACATTGCCAATTTAAGCTCTGATATTCTATATAGTCATTAAAAATTCAATGGATTTTTTTTATTAATCTGTTACTATTTTTACAGTAATAATTATTCTTTTTATCTAAGGTTTTTGGTTGAGATGAAAAATTAGGCTACAGCATGGGGATCATGGGTTCAAATCCTGCTGGTGACACTAATTTTTCATCTCAAACCAAAAACCTTAGATAAAAAGAATAATTAATTGGAATAGTATGTAACGTTCTTTTGAGTTAATTATTAAAATTGTCTGTTTATGTAAATGTTTAATTCATTAATTAATTCTACTTGTTGGGGTTCTCACTCTTTGAGCAGTTTACTTTTAACACACTTTATTGATTATCTTGTCTATTACATAAAAAATTGAATTAGGAAGAAAAACTTGGGGGAAGGTTGTACATCGATGATCTTAACTCTTATTTTATCAAGACCACAATTACTAAATCGATACCACAATACTTCACCCTTACATTTTTTTAACACATATAAAGAAAGTTCTACTTAAAAAAGGAGGTAAAAATATAATTTGACTATTATAGTTAAAGAACTAAACAAATAAAAACAAAACAAATGTAAGAAAATACTTCAAGTTCAGTTGTAAAATTTTATAGGCATTTTGATGTGTCTTCCGCTTCTAGTCATAGCTGGTGACTTCTTTAATTCAGAACACACTCTTGTCCTTCCTTTCAGAGTCTTAGGGTGTGCTGCATTTCCTGATGTAGTTGGCGAATCTTTTGGGTAGCATTGTTGGGGTGGTATATCTTCACAGGGTGGGTTTAATAAGTATGCTGGCTTGAGGTGATCTATTGCGACTGAATCTTCCCGACCATGCATCAATTGAGCAGGCTATTGAAGCTTTTAAATAGGATTTGATCGATGCTATTGCCACAGCTTTAACTGACCACTCAACACAGCAAATCATTCAAATGCTGGCTGTGTATGACACTAGAGGTACGTAAGTATGCCGGCTTGAGGCGATCTATTGCGACTGTATCTTCCTGACCATGCATCAACAACTTGAAAAATTTTGGATACCTCTTTAAAACTTTAAATGGTCCACTATAGGGTTGGCATGTGGTCAGCAATAAACAATCGATGTGCTGGTTGTGGGCGGCCGCCCTTCATAGGAGCGACCGCCTGAACTCGTTTCCCTGATTTGAATCTTCAAAAGTACATGGGGGGATGCATGAGCGGGCTCTATGACCAAAACGATGGTGGTACCAACACAATTTTCTACCCGAGGACGGAGATGGAGTTATGATATAACGGCGTTCGCTTTGCTCTCTAACTATACCTCTGTTTCGTCCTATTGGTTGTGAGACAGCTAATTGTGTTGATATTTCTTCTATTTGGGCTTTAATGTCGTCGAAGGCCTTGAATTAATTCAGGCTGGGCTGATTAATCGTCGTGTTAACTGCGTGAACAGGCGTTGCACCCACTATATTTATAATCTTATCGGCCGTTTCGGCCAGCTCCTCCAAGGAGGCATTAGATCCTGCCAGAGAACTTTGAACATGCATGGGATATTTTCAGTCACTCTACCATCACCGATTTGTCTCAACTGAGATAATAGTTGAGAAGGTTTATTATCTCCCAAAGGGAGGTCCTTTAGCAATTTGTTGGCCGTAATAGCATCAGACTCCTCATAATGTTTAAGTAATCTTGCTTTTAACACCGTATAAGGTGTTTTGTGAGGAGGAGAAATGACAATATCCCGAACAGCCTGTACAATATTATCTAAAGCACCCACAATAAAATTAAATTTTGTTTTCTCATTCGTAATGCGGCTATTTTCAAATTGAGCCTTTGCTCGGACAAACCAGAGGACCACGTCTTTCGTCCAAAACGGAGGCAACTTCACCGCTACATGAGTCACGTGCTGATGAGACGGCACGCCTGAAGCCCTCTCTTCACAGTCGTCCAGCATGGTAAAAAAAATGTATATGTTGTCAAAGAACTTACTAACTTCCGATCACGTCGGGGTCACCAATGTTGGGGTTCTCACTCTTTGAGCAGTTTACTTTTAACGCACTTTATTGATATCCTGTCTATTACATAAAAAATTCAAATAGGAAGAAAAACTTGAGGGAAGGTTGTAGATCGATGATCTTAACTCTTTTATTTTATCGATACCACAATTACTAAATCGATACCACATACTTCAATAATCAGACCAGTGCGCTTTGTTTTCTGAGCTCATTGTATTGCAATTCACAATAATACTCAATTACCTATGTTCTTAATGTGTCCCTTAACTGGATTGATATGTTTATGAGCTATATTTTATGTATGTTTTTAATTAAAATAAAACACAATTTCATAAACATAATAACATACATTTTTTTATATTTTCAAATTTGTTCGTTATGCTCTGAAAAATTATTTGTAAATTAATTCCTAAATTATTAGGAAATGGTATTTGAATCGTACCTATACCATCGCATGCCAAGGTACATGCCTAATTCCCTACTTATCTACAAATAGGTAAGGATTAAGGTTATACCAGGCTATCTTTTGGCCAAATTTTGCTGTCAGTTTTTTAAAAATTGATTTGTTGTAATCTCAAATCATCACGTCCGTTAATTTTCTCTTTTCAGTGTACACCTCATAATTAGTTGTTTTAAGCACGTTGGTAAATAGTTAAATAAAATTTGTATTAATTTTTAAAGGACAATGAGCCAAAACAAAGCAGTGGACGTCGAAAGGCGAATCGATGATTTTTTAATGGACTATGAGTGCTGCAAGCAGTCAGACTCTCTCGTTTTGGAAGCAGTAAAAGTGTTCTCCGACGTTATTAATTATTCCAAATGGGAAACGGCCAGTGAGCTGCTGGACATGGTGAAGAAAAACGGAAGGAAGATAATGAAGCAGATGCCGATGGAATCATCCGTAGGTAATATCGTAAGGAGAATACTTAAAATAATAAGAGAAGAGTATATGTCTTTGGACAAGAACAAGCAGGACGAGACTTACGAGGAGTCCCTTCATAAGATTGTAACGAGCGAAGGTAACAGTGACGACTACAGTAAGGTATTACCGAGGCTAGGACCGGCCATCGTAGACCATCTAAATGAGTTGGAATTAGAAGTGGAAACCAGTTCAGAAAATATTTCACAGCAGGCTGTCGAACATATACATTCAAATGAGATCATAATGACCCTGGGGATGTCTGACACTGTGTTAAAATTCCTCAAAGAAGCTGCAAAGAAGAGAAAGTTTGAAGTGATTGTCTCATCCACAGAGCCGTCCAAGGATGGGAATTGCATGGCGCTCAAGCTCTCGAAGCTGAAAATACGCACCACCCTTATACCGGATTCCGCGATATTTGGTATAATGTCGAGAGTGAACAAGGTGATAATCGGGACGCACACGGTCATGGCGGACGGAGGGCTGAGGTCGTCTTGCGGTACTCGGCTTGTCGCCTTGGCTGCGACGCATTACTCCGTTCCTGTCCTTGTACTGGCACCCCTGTATCAACTCTCGCCTAAGTATTACTGCTCCCCTGAACAGAACAGTTTTAATAGTTTTATATCGCCTGAAGGTGTTCTCGCGTATTCGGATGGTGACTTGCTTACGAAAGTCCATACATACAATCCTCGTTATGATTATGTACCACCAGATTTGGTCACTCTCTTCATATCGAACAGTGGAGGTCATGCCCCATCATACGTCTATAGGCACCTCAGTGAGTTGTATCATCCAGAAGACTCTGAACTTTGATGCAAATCATATCAAAAAAATACATTTTGTAAATACACAATAATTAAATTCGTTTGTATTGTTTTATAATGACTAGTTTATTTCACCCAAGTATATCGAAAGTGCATTGGATTTCATAAATCACCCAAAACCGTATAAGAAATTGTTATATTGGAATCAGAAAACCCATTTTATTTTTAACTTTTACTGTATTTTCAGAAGTAACTACAATTGAAATAAAAAGAGCCAGAATTTTTTTTTTTACGAGGATTTGCAACAGCAGAGGTCATATCACCCTCGGGGTGCCAGTTTTGTTGAAAGAAAAAAGCCTATTTGTAAGTATGTCACATTTGACTCCAGCAGCCCTGTATTCGAACCTGGACCTTTACCTTACAGTAATGAGCCGTCAGTCACTGACACCCCCTTTTTATTTCAGTTATTTGAATTTTTTTAGTTCATTACTACTCGCCAATTTTTCAATCAGCCAGACTGTCCAAAAATGAAGGTTTGCTGGAGCTTAAATTTCAAATTGACCTCCATCTTTGATATTATAAATTAATTCATATTTGTTTAGTAGTCATAATTTGATATTATATTTCAATACTGCGCCTAGGACTCGTGTTATAAAGCTTCAAAATATATTGTCATCACTATAAATTGGCATTTCCTGGTGCGTATACAATTCATTGCTTCACAATAGCTGAACAGTCGCTAGAAAAATATGTGTTGTCTACCACTTTAAATTTGCAGTATATTCAAATAAATTTATCTAACTTCTCTTAGGTTAATATTTACATATGCGGTTGTTATGCTTTTGCACAGATTTATCTAGTTCTATACACATTTTTACGTATATATATTTTAGATCATGGACTCTTCGGTCGTGGGTTCAATTCCCACTGTTGCCCCCTAGCCCTTTTTTTTGTTACCCTTCCCCCCATCTATGTAGGATGAAACCATCAACAGAACCATACTCTGGTGATGTGAGTGAAACTATCTATTAAAAAACTTACTTAAGACAATTTGTAGACATCTTCAAGATCATTTTTCCTGATGATGACCTTAAATAGGTTTAATTGGATTTGTTTTTCATCTAGTTGACATGCTGAGATCGAAATCATCGTGAGTAAAAATGTGGTCGATAAATCTAACACTTCAAATAAAAAGCTTTAACATCTTATGTAAAACTTTATGCTCTTCTTTTAATACTTAATCATACTTTTGAATATTTTATAGAAAAACAGAATGAAAATCTACAATATAGACTGCTTAATTAATTATTTTATGTATTGTAATAACAGTTTAATTAAAGACTATAACATCTCTAATTCGGTAACTTTAAATAAACCATTATATTTAAGATGTATAACTTTTGCAAACTAATTGTTATTTTGTTGTGAGTCGTTTGTTAATATTATTAAGACAAGGTTTATCTCATTTAAAACAAAGAAATATAATTAAAAAAATAGCATCATGTAAAACTATGATTATTTTACCATAGAAACTAGGCATTTGTGCTTTTAATGTTTTATAGAAATATATATATTCAAATCTGCTATACTGCTTGGATAATTGTTTATTTCTTTTATACCCTAATAATTTCAATAATAATGTCAATTTCTTTGAAGACCTATGTTCGGACTGAGGGTCATCATCAGGGCAAAAACAACCTTAAAGTATAAATTGGCATAATTAGGTTTTTAATAAATGGTTTTATATTTCTTTAAAGACCAACGATGACCAATTTTAAGACTGAGGATCATCATCAAGGCATAAACCTTCTTAAAGTGTCTAAAAATTGGCATAATTAGATTTTTAATAAATGGTTTTATATTTCTTTAAAGACTAGCAATGACCAATGTTGGATCTGAGGGTCATCATCAGGACAAAAACAACCTTAAAGTTGTCTATAAATTGACATAATTAAGTTTTTAATAAATGGTTTTATATTTCTTTAAAGACCAGCGATGACCAATGTTGGGGTCATCATCAGGGCACAAACAAACATAAAAGTTGTAAGATGATTACCCTCAGTCCCAACATTGGTTGTCGTTGATCTTTAAAGAAATATAAAACCATTTATTAAAAACTTATGTCAATTTGTAGACGTCTTTAAGATTGTTTTGCCTTGATAATGACCCTCAGTCCCAGCATTGGTCTTCAAAGAAATATAAAACCATTTGTTAAAAACTTAATTATGTCGATATGTAGAATTCTTTAGGATTGTTTTTGCCCTGATGACTGTGATTGGGGGTAATCAAGGCAAAAACAATCAAAAGTGTATACAAATTGACATAATTAAGATTTTAATAAATGGTATTACATTCCTTTTAAAAACAATAATAATCAATGTTGGTACTGGGGGCCATCATCAGGGCAAAAACAATATTAAAGACGTCTACTAATTGAGAGGAGTTGATGTTATAAAGTTTTTAATTAATGGTTTCACATTTTGAAAGACTGTCCTATTGTTGCCAAGGAGTTTGACACTATTAGCACTGTAATGCAGTGTTACATTTTGTGTTAGGACTGAAGTCTCTTCAAAGAAATTTGAAACCATTTATTAAAAAAAACTTATGACAAATTGTTTAAGATGTTTTCCCTTATGATGATCTTAAAATAGGTCGAAAGCATGGCAAATAACTATTGAATTTCTTTTTACTTTCCGAGTATACAGTTGAGATTATTCGTTACAAAAGAAGATTAAAATTTAAATTTTAAATAAAATGCTTTGAAAGCTTGGGACATTCGGTGATAATACGAGCAGTTTTGACGTATGTTACGAAATAAATTATTCAAGAAATAGGTGAATACTGGTATTTTTTCTTCGAGGATAAAGGTCAAGGGTATGATTAGATAGAAATAACAATACTGGTTATTCTAAGTTGGACGTAATTTTTCAAAATCTATATCAGAGATCGGCCTCAGTTCGTATGTATTTGACATACGTATGTGGCCATTAATTTATGTTATAATTTATGAATTTTTGACATGGGAGATTTTTGAATAGAAATTCGATAAATTATTGCAACACGATCGGGTGCTAAGGGGACGGGGGGCAGTTACGACCTATTTCGTAATCTGGTCAAAATTGCACAAAATTGCATCTACGTTTGACGACGAGGCCGAGTCCGGGGTCCAACTCCTCAACTCGCAGTGCCTTTTAAATACAAGTCGATTTATTATGCTCTAAAACGACTCAAAGATGTTTTATTCTGGTTGAAAATTAAAATACGATTGTTTCGAGTATATTTTAAATAATTTTCCGCCGTGTGTAATATACAAGGAGTGTAATGTTGAATGTGTATAAAATTTGTTTTGTAATTTTCAATAATTCACCGGTTTTGAAAAAAATTATAAAAGTGAAATAAATAAATGAAAATTATTTTTCTTTGGTTTTGAACGTTTTAAATTGTAAGTTTTGCTTGAGATAAAGTGCACGTTTTAGTCAGACGTGGATCTTGTACGGATGGAAATCCTGTTATGTGCCTTGTGTCAGGAAGTGGAAAGGAAAAGGGTCTTTTAGCCATTAGTGGTTCCGACGGGTGCTCCGTTTCTGGATTGTTCCACTTTGATTTTTAACAGTTTTTTTTGTTTTTTCGAGTCGAGCTCGACCAGCGAGTGGTGAGAGGACGAAGAGGAATATTCTCAGAAATCGTAAATCGCTCGAAGTCGAAGCGTCGAGGGAAATTCGACGGCAAACGTGCTCGGTTTATAACCCAACTCAAGGTACGATCAAACAGTTAACTAATTCGTATTAGAAGCCGATTTAGAGAAGAAAACAGGAAAAATGGTTAATTTTACGGTTGACGAAATCCGTGGGATGATGGACAAGAAGCGGAATATCCGTAACATGTCTGTTATCGCCCACGTGGACCACGGTAAGTCCACCCTCACGGACTCTCTCGTCTCGAAGGCTGGTATCATAGCCAGCGCGAAAGCGGGTGAGACGAGATTTACGGATACGAGGAAGGACGAGCAGGAAAGATGCATCACCATCAAATCTACGGCGATATCCATGTTCTTCGAGCTAGGAGACAAAGACCTGGCCCTCATCACCAACCCTGACCAGAGGGACAAAGGTGAGAAAGGGTTCTTGATCAACTTGATCGACTCTCCCGGCCACGTCGACTTCTCGAGCGAAGTAACGGCCGCCCTCCGTGTCACCGACGGGGCTTTGGTCGTCGTCGACTGTGTTTCCGGGGTCTGCGTCCAGACCGAGACCGTTCTTCGTCAAGCGATCGCAGAAAGAATCAAGCCTGTTCTCTTCATGAACAAGATGGACCGTGCTCTTCTTGAACTGCAGCTGGATCCCGAAGATCTGTATCAGACGTTCCAGAGGATTGTCGAGAATGTCAACGTCATTATTGCCACTTACAGCGACGACACCGGCCCGATGGGTGAAGTGCGAGTTGATCCGAGCAAGGGTAGCGTTGGGTTTGGCTCTGGTCTTCATGGCTGGGCTTTCACCCTCAAGCAGTTTGCCGAGATGTACGCTGAGAAATTCAAGATCGACGTTGTCAAGCTCATGAACAGACTCTGGGGAGAAAACTTCTTCAACCCCAAGACCAAGAAATGGGCCAAGCAGAAGGAAGCTGATAACAAGAGATCCTTCGTCATGTACATCTTGGATCCTATTTACAAAATTTTTGACTCTATTATGAACTACAAGAAAGAAGAAGCTGCAAATCTGCTTCAAAAATTGAACATCGAGCTTAAGCCTGAAGATCGTGACAAGGATGGTAAACAACTTTTGAAAGTTGTAATGAGGACTTGGCTTCCTGCTGGTGAAGCCCTGCTTCAGATGATAGCCATCCATCTCCCATCCCCTGTTGTCGCTCAGAAGTACAGGATGGAGATGCTGTACGAGGGTCCTCATGATGATGAAGCCGCCATGGGCATTAAGAGCTGTGATCCCAACGCGCCTCTCATGATGTACATATCTAAAATGGTACCGACATCCGACAAAGGTAGATTCTACGCTTTCGGCCGTGTTTTCTCTGGTAAAGTCAGCACTGGTATGAAAGCCAGGATCATGGGCCCGAACTTCGTCCCTGGCAAGAAAGAAGATCTGTACGAGAAGGCTATCCAGAGAACGATCCTCATGATGGGTCGTTACGTTGAAGCGATTGAGGATGTACCGAGTGGTAACATCTGTGGGCTTGTCGGTGTTGATCAATTTTTAGTAAAAACGGGAACGATCACAACATTCAAGGATGCCCATAACATGAAGGTCATGAAGTTTAGCGTGAGCCCTGTCGTGAGAGTGGCTGTCGAGCCCAAGAACCCGGCTGATCTGCCCAAACTTGTAGAAGGTCTGAAAAGGCTTGCCAAATCAGACCCTATGGTGCAGTGTATTATTGAGGAATCAGGCGAACACATCATTGCCGGAGCAGGAGAACTCCATCTTGAAATTTGCCTCAAAGATCTTGAAGAAGACCATGCCTGTATCCCATTGAAGAAATCAGATCCAGTCGTATCTTACAGAGAAACAGTTTCTGACGAGAGCGACCAAATGTGCCTTTCAAAATCGCCAAACAAGCACAACAGATTATTTATGAAAGCTGTGCCAATGCCTGACGGGCTCCCAGAAGACATCGACAAGGGTGATGTTAACCCACGTGACGACTTCAAGGTCAGAGCTCGTTACTTGGCTGAGAAGTATGAATACGACGTCACGGAAGCCAGGAAAATCTGGGCTTTTGGTCCTGACGGATCTGGTCCCAATCTCCTTATGGACTGCACAAAGGGAGTTCAATATCTGAATGAAATCAAAGACAGCGTCGTTGCTGGTTTTCAATGGGCCACAAAGGAAGGTGTACTTGCAGAAGAGAATCTTCGTGGTGTACGATTCAACATCTATGATGTTACATTACATGCTGACGCCATCCATAGAGGAGGTGGACAGATCATCCCGACAACAAGGAGATGCCTTTATGCATGTGCTCTGACAGCATCACCGCGTCTCATGGAGCCTGTTTATCTCTGTGAAATCCAGTGCCCAGAAGTCGCTGTCGGAGGTATCTATGGTGTACTGAACAGAAGGAGAGGTCACGTCTTCGAAGAAATGCAAGTAGCAGGAACACCAATGTTCGTCGTGAAGGCTTATCTACCTGTCAACGAATCGTTCGGTTTCACAGCGGATTTGAGAAGCAACACCGGAGGCCAAGCTTTCCCTCAATGCGTATTCGATCACTGGCAGATTTTCCCTGGCGACCCATTGGAAGTTGGGTCTAAACCGTACTCAATCGTTCAAGACACCAGGAAGAGGAAGGGTTTGAAAGAAGGCCTCCCGGATGTCACACAATACTTAGATAAATTGTAATTCAAACCGAAAAAAAATTATAAATTCATTTTTATTTAACACTGTTTTTATTTCACAATCCTCCCCCAGTTTATTTTTGAAATAATTGCAATTGCATTGTTATAATTATTTCATTCAGCAATATTTCATTCATAGGAAACATTTTTATTTTGAATTAATTGGACTTGTAACTCGAAATCAAAACTAAAAGCAAGTATTTTTTCTGTAAATGTTAATAAATTGATCTATTTTTAATATTTTGGTTGGTGGTGTATGGAAATGATTTTAATATTTTGCATATATTTTAAATTTTTTTTACTACTTTTCTATATTGGTTTGACCAAATGATACCCACATTCTGGATACCAATATGCTTTTAAAAATCCAAACTTATATTGCATATGGGATTGGAATGAAAGTATTGAGAAAAATTGCATGATGTTAACGTGATTGAATGAAACTCGGTGATTTGTATAATTTTCTAAGCCATTTATTGTGTCAAAAAATGGTGGACTTTTTATACAATACATTGTTAAATTGAGTATGACAATAGAATTTGATTTTGTTAATTTATTTCCCATGTTTTCTTATATTACAAATTATGTAGTTAGCATTGTTAAGTAAAAATGGAAACGAGAAAATATTTTCTAGTAATAATTAAGTTAATGATGAGATCAAAGGTGAATATGACTTTTTTCATTACAAATGAACGCTTCTCAATATAAGTTCATGTAATTAAGGGTGAAATGTTTTTAGTATCAAAATAAAAATAATTTTATGGGAATACTGCTTCTGGAATTGGAATTTTTTATTTTGTATATATTTTGTACAAGATATTGTTTTATTTCTATCTTTTTATTTCTGTTCGACATCATAACAATCCTACAATAAAAACAATGGATAATATTTGTATGTTTTATTTCTTTTTACAACAATATTTGGTTTTATAATCTAATTTTTTTATATAACTAAGCATTTGGCACTTATGTCGGCCTGGTCACAGTTCCAGCTAGAAGGATGACACTACTTTTGATGTGGTAAATTAAAAATATAAAAGGTTTGTTGAAGGAGTACGATTGCACTGTTTCTCTTTTTCTTCGTGTCTGTTCGTTTTGAAAACTGTATTCAGTCTGTTGCTCATTTTTTACATTTTGTTTTCCCGCTTCAAGTTTTTCAAGTAGTTTCGTGAGGTTCTCAATGTCCAACGCATCAATATTTAAAGTGGGAGCTGGCTGTGGTTTTTTCGTCTCAGACTTTTTGGCCTCTCCTTTAACTTTCCTATCTAAAAATAAAATAAATTAAAATTTTATAAAAATATATAAAATAAAATAATATAAAATAAATTCATAAAATAATAATTATCAACAAAATTGCAATTAAGAACAAATGCTCTTTTAGAATTTTATTAGAAAGAAGAAATTTAATAGAAATTAAGATATCAAGCAATTACACACTATTTGAGGAAACTTGTGCTTAATGTATACATCATTAGTTCACAGTGACAACGAAGATATTTGGTCTGCTGCTAGGTGAAATTGCCTTGCTTTTGTAATCATGTTTTTACTTACAAAGGGTACTTCCAGTAGATGCAACAGAATTAACCGAAGTGAAGCTTGTTGCAAAGTAAGCGTTTTGCTTTATTGACTTAAGAAGGCCGGTTGTTGTTCTGCGCCTTGAACTGCCTCTTTTATTTTTCGTTGTTGCCCTCGTAAACGCAATTCCCAGACCTGATTTTTTAAGTATCTTTCCTATATTTAAGCCTGAATTGACCAGGGCGAACTGTGGCAGGGTCACCTCGACTTCGCTGGTCGGCAGCCTTTTCACCAAAGTTCTTAAATCTACTTCCAGCATTTTGAGAAGGACGTCTTCCATCCCGTCTTTGTGATCTGGCATTATCAGAACAAGACTAGTGGCATCATCCTGTCAGAAAAAATTAAAACATAAAATCCTATAAGGACCACTTTTAATAATGCTTACCTCAAGAGGTAGTTCAACAATTTGACTATTTAGCTTAGGATGATAACCAGCTTTAAACAGGCCGACTTGTGGTACCATCGGCACATTTACAACATCACCGTAAGGTGTCATAAATGGTACAGATGGCTGATGAGTTAGATATGTATAGACTGCCAGCTTGTCAAAATCCTTCCAATGTGACATTACTCTTGTATCAGTAAAATAATCCAAAACAAGTTCTAAAATAATAAAATTGAAACAGGTGGGTCATTACAAAGTAACTTTTAACTGGAAACTGAACGAATATTTGATCAATGTCTAAAGTTAGGTAAAAAAGAAGTAACAACATGCATAGGTGTTTTCTATTGGGATTTAAATTAAAATTTCTGAAAGGATTTTATGATAACTTTTGACAAAAATAAGTTTTTGTCCTATGATATCATAATAAACCAAATTATTTTGAAGTTTTTCATATAAGTAAACTTTTTTAAGTTACCTGTAGCATTTGCAGTTATATTCTCTAACATTTCTGTCTTGTAGTAATTTTTGAGGAGTTGTGCGTAAGGTTGAAACAATGAGTCAGGAGCGTGAACCTTCGCTGAGTTTAATGATATAACTACTCCATCTGTGTTCTTTCTCTGTATAGCCTGTAGGTACAAAATATTTTTTGAATTAGTCAATTCAATTTGACAATTCAGATTTTTACTAGCTTTACCTGCATGTGCTCCAATAATATTTTAATCCCTAATCGTAAATTTTCTCTTGTGGCTTTTGGACTACTCAGGCCCAATATTTTGCAAAGTTCAGTCGCTATTTTGTCATCAACCCCTTCGAAAACTACAGCTAAACTTGTCGCCAAGCCAAACGGTGAATAGACTACATTGCTTTGGTTATACGAAAGTGCCTGGAATATGTGCATGCTTTGATTATATAGAACGTTAGGACAAATCTGGTATTCGAAGCATACTTGCAAGAGATGTGGGACCATACGGTTATTAAAAGAGGCGAGAAATGTGATTGATTGGTGTTGTGCTGTGGAGTAAAATACACACCCAAGCAATACTATCATACCAGCATCTGCAAAAGGGATTTGTGCAGCATTAGGCAGTGCTATTTCCTGCTACTTACTTTATGCATTACAATTAAACTTTGGTTTATTAGAATTGGTACCACTGTATTATACTTGAAGAGTAATTTTTTATACTTAAAATCTAATACATGATTCGTATCAATTATGAGTATGGTAAGGCAGTTATGATTTTATTAACAGCAAAGGAAATGTGTAAATGTATTTGTCTCTAGGTAAGTTGTTATTACTAGTAGGTTGTCGAAATAAAATATATCTTTAAATTATTCAGAAATCGTGAGATGCGGTCTGGATTCACAATTTCTGATTTTTTTTTCCATCCCTAACCAGACAACTTAAAAATCTATCACATTTGATTACAAATTTATATAAGCCCAACTCTGCTCACAGAGGGTGCAAAACTGAGCATATCCCGTCAAGTGTACACTGGCAATTCCAGATTTTGTAATTTCCAATAAATCACAGGTTTTGAGAATCACCCATGTGGGTGTTGGCAGTCAGGGGCCAGACCTACGATCTTATCTGTCCAGATGCCGAGATTGGGCTCCAGGCTCTACCAACAGTCACTTCTGCCCCTAGTGCAGTTCCTAAATCTAAACCCACTCTCACTCACTCATAAATACATTCTTTTCTACTTACATATTCAGTTAAGGTGGAGTACACAATATTTCTCCTTTATGCCTATTATATAACTAACCTGATTGAGGGTTGAAGTGGTACTCAGCGTTCCGCCATCGAACCTCTCACACAACTTATTAACACAAATAAACATTCACTCTCAACACACACCAGCAATACAAAATACAACAAAACAATCCTGCTTCTTCCAAAATCAGAGCAGGGGACTCAGATACTTGCTGAAGTGCTCAAGCACAATTCTCACATTGGGAGGCATTCCTACTCAATCACTGTATAGATCCAAGGAGTTCCCTTCAACTCAGTGATGCTCATTGAGCAACCTTTCTCTACATGCAGGATACATTATGGCCCAAAAGAAGTGTCCGCGTGTCAATCTCGCGTGGACTATTCTTAATCACGGATCCTGTTTTTAATACATTTTCAGTATCAGAGAGCCAGATCATCTCTGTAATCATCAGAGCCTCAGGTCTATGGATGGGGTGAACCAGTCTTCGTCTTAGCCACTTCGTGTCCAGTTTCCAGACAACCACCGTTTTTCCAAGGCACTTATGTTTTCTCTCCAACAAGAGCAATTACATTGATCATTCAGGATATTATTTATAAAATGCCATAATAAAACATATTTTAAAAAACCCTCGCTAAAGTAATGATGCCAAAACAAAATATATCTAGAACTATTTTAAACATTGCCTATTTTTTGATGAAAATAAAATAGAAATATAAAGATATAAATGGAGCAATATGCTATATACCTAAATAAAAAAATTACCAATTTAAGCTTTGATACATTTATAATCATTAACAATTTAATGTTTTTTTCTAATTAATCTCAATCTCTTACTATTTTTATACCAATACCAATAAAACACAAATTCATGAGATTTTTGCCTGGTTATGTTATATATTTAACTACAATTTAATTAAAAAATGCTAAACAGATGACACCTCAAATAATTTAAGTTTAAATTTTTGGGCAAGATTTACAATTGTTTACACATTATTTGTTTTATTGATTGGTGATTAATTATAATTAATATGTGAGATTTAATTTCATTAACATAAATTGAAAGAAATATATCTATAAAGATTCTAACATCTTTTATAAAACCTAACTTATTTATTTTGTAAATAAATTATTATTTAATTACATGTTACAATAGTGCCTGTGTAATTAATGATTTTATACAAATTACAGATTAATTAAATAGCTTAACAAATTACATGAAATTTTCAGTATCTTTGCACAGGAATTTATAATTGTTTAAGCATTAAAGTAAAAGTTTTTAAATTATGAATTGTATCTTGCATTGGGAGCAGAACTTCATTCATGCTTTCGAACACTTATTGAATAACGTGCAAAAATATTTTGCATAATAATAGTTTAATTAAAAATCCTAAATAAATGACATTTCTGATAATTCAAGTTAAAATGATTTACAGTTTAAATTTTTTTGTCGATTTTTTAAAAATTTATTAGGATTTGAGGCTTAACTTGTAGAAGATAAAGAAATAAGCAATAAAAGCCTTTGAAATAATCTGGCTCTCGGAATGGTCTGGATGAAAAACAAATTCAGTTGTTATCTGCCAAGCTAACTATTCTAAGGTCATGATCAGAGTAAAACAATCTTAAAAAAGTTTACAAATTTACATAATTAAGTTTTTAATAAATCATATCAAATGTCTTTGAAGACAGACTCAATCCCAACATTGCCAAAGACTGTAACGCTATTCGCACTATGTAACACATAGCTACATTGGGGGGGACTGACAACGAATCTATCTTCAATTAAAAACCTTTTGAAACAATTTGTTAAAAACCTAATTATGTCAATTAGTAGTCATCTTGAAGATGTGTTTTGCCCTGATGATGACCTAAAAATAGGTCGATATTTTGGAAGAATACAATTGAGTTTTTCATCGAGATCCAGATTATTCGTGAGTAATAACTGTGAGTGGTCAATAGATGTAACACTTTAGACAAAAAGCCTTTAACACCTTATGTAAAACTTTATGTAAAACTTTTCATAAGTATACTTAATCAAGTTTTTGAATATTTTATAGAAATATTTAGATGAAGATTTACAATATAGACTGCTTAATTATTTTTTACCATAAACAAATAACACCTCTGACACTGTAACTTCAAATGAGAAATTGTATTCAAGATTTATATTTATTAGTTTATGTTAGAAAACTTTCCATGTGGTTTTTTTAAATAAAAAAGTAAATACATTACCTATTTACATTGTAAATTACATAAATTTAAATTAGTCAAATTAGCCTTAAAAATTGCGTTTTAAATAAAACACCTATAAGAAAAAAATTCCTCTCTCCAAGATTTATAACTTTTTGCAGATAATTGATATTTTTTAATGATTTTTTAAAATATTAAGATTTGAGATTTAACTAATCGAAAACAAAGAATTAAAAATTTTATTAATTAAAAAAAAGCATCATGTACTTTTTTTTAAACTTTAAAACTAGATATTCGTACTTTTCATGATTTTATATGAACATTTATATTCAAATCTGATATACTGCTTGGATAATTGTTTATATTTTTTATGTCATAATAATTTAAAGATTGTCAACAAATGTTTAAGTTTAAGGCGGGATTTTAACTTTTTGGATCCATTAATTATTTCATCCTTCTTTAATAAAAATTGAGAATTTGGTGTATTTAATATGTTTAAATACCATCTACAATATTTGTAAACAAACCAAGTTTTTTTTTTCTTTCAAATATATGTAACATATATGTGTATGTAATACATAGACATCGTTCATATACATCGGAAATTTTGTAGTGCTTTTTTTAAAAATTGGTTTGTAATTATTTATTATTAGGATTTAAGGCTTAACTGGTAGAAGGCAAGGATATATAGCAAAAAAGCCTTTAATATCTTATGTAAAATATTATGCTCTTATTTTATTAGTATACTTAATTATGCTTGTAATATTATCTGCATACATTTTATTTTCTATGATGCATATAAATACATTCGAAATTTAGCAGTCGTTCATCAAAATCATACATCGCTATGACCGAAATGACCAAAATTGACTTTGTGAAGTGATACACGGATTGTTAAGTGACTATTTATTTGCAATTATTTAAAAACAAAAGGGTGCACTGTTCTAAAAGAAGACGAAATGCAATTTGTTTGCTCAACGATAATATTTTTTTAATAACTTACTCATTTTATTCTCGCTGTTATAGCTGGCGGGAGTTGAGAACTGACTGAAGGGTGGTCCCACGCTGGGTACTATCGGGAATATTCTTGTTGCAATACAGTTTCGTAATCTTTCTTGCTCTCACTTTTCTGCTCGATCACTCTGTTGTGCGTTTTTTATGCGGGAATTAAGACTTTTTTCTCGGGGTCAATGAGGGTATAATTTTTTAAAAATCTTTTGAATCAACGTGGACCCGGTGCATTTTGAGGTGACAGACCTGCATTCAGTTCAGGCCCGAGGAAGCCTAAACGGGTTGCTCAACGTATTTCAAAACGAAGTTTTGCTAAGGTAAACAGCTTTCGCTCGTCGGTCGACGAAGGGATTATCTAATTTTGTCTTAATTTGCAGGTCCACTAAAAGAAACATAGATAAAAACATTTTTTGAACATATCGTTCAGACAACAATGAGAATGTGCTTTATGGAAAGTTTTATGGAAACTTTTATTTATTGAATCGACAAAAGTTCACTTTATAGTGATATTTTTCTTTTGTCAAATAATTGATGACATGCATTTTTTAGGTCGCGAAAGATTTATTTATTTAACGGGCATCACATCCTTTTTTTAAAAGCACAAAATGAGAAAAGTAACATTTTACAAAGTAAACTAAAATTTACAATGAAATAACATAATAGAAAATGTACTACGTACATTTATAAAATTTATAAGAAATAATAAGTAATGACATAATAATATAAAAATAAAATATAATACATAATGTATGGAATTAACAATCAAATAGTTTTGATAAAAGTAACAATCATAATAAATAAATCAATATCTCATTAATACCATAAAATACCTGAATGTCATCTCATAAGATAAATCGTAAATTGTTGAAGTGGTGAGGAGCGGGCAAGAACGAGGTATTTTAGAAAAACATCTTTTTCATTTTTTTTTTTTGCCGACGCTTCGACCTTTAATCGGCTCATCTTCAGGGCATAAAGTGTGGTGCTATTCTTGTGGTGTCATATTGGTTTTGTGAAAGTGTTTTCGCACACAAATGGTTTCACACATAACCAATATGACACCACGAGAATAGCATTTCTGCCCTGAAGATGACTCAATTAAAGGTCGAAACGTCGGCAAAAAAATTGAAAAGGTGTTTTTCTAAACTACCTCATTCTTGACCTCACGACTTCAACAATTTATGAACAACAGGTCATTAAGAAATACAAATAAATCATAAGATTACCTCGGTCATGGTGATCTTCAGTCTTGACTCGACTTTCTGACTAATTGGAAGTCTGCATGCCCTCAGCACTTCCAATTTATCTGCCTGAGGAAAAAAGCCAATACAAAGCGATAGGGTTTGACTGGGATTGTAGCTAGGGATAAGTCCTTCAGGCTAAGTTTGGTTATGTTTAGAAAACCCTACTTGCGTTGGCAAGGAGACAGTATTTGCTAATGCAAGTTTCAGATCCTTGTTGGATGGAAAGAAAAAAAGCATTTTATGACAGTGCAAGTAATTGATAAGCTCAAATCGGTTAGAAATAGTGATTTTTACCTATTCATTCACTCCTCGTTGTGCCTCTATACCGCAGGGAGATTGGGCTGCACATTTTGAAATTTTTTTAAATCCCACTATTTCTCCTGTAGATACATCTAGTTTGGATGCAGACTAGATGTATCTGCAAGTAGTTGTAAAGAGGTTTTTCGGTTTCAATGCTGGGTTCGACAGGGACGTGTTCTAAGCCCGCTTGTATTTTCTCTATACGCAAATGATATAGTTCAGGTGTTAGGGAGGGGGTGTTGGTTGAGGAGATTTTGATTACAATACTCTTACACGTTGACATCATTCTGGCAAAATCCCCTGCTTATCATACCAAAATTAGAGTCATATTGCGATATTTGGGGCTTAAAAGTTAATCTCGACAAGTTTAAAGTTCTCATATTTAGAAACGGGGGCGCAGGATGAGATCAGGCGAAAACCTATAAAGTTAATCAAATTGAAATGGTTAAAAGTTAAAAGGCCTGGTACTTACTCCAAGACTGTTCTTTACAGTTCACTTTAAAGAAAAGTCCAAAACTGCCAGATTTTCGTTAAATTATACTTGGAGAAGTATAATCAGCCTCTCTTTGAATCCTTAATCAGCCAAACTAAAAAGTTTAATGCAGTTTCTGGATCGGTAATGTGCTATGGTTCGAAGATCTGGGGCTTGAGATCATGGACAAAGGAAGAAAATGTACTTCAGTTTTTCATATGTTCTCTCTTCAATGTACACCTCACATTTATACTCCATTTCGAGACTGTCTGTTATTAGTTTATTTTCTACCATTATAATAACATTTGTATTTGTATCTTATTAATTAAGCAACAGTATAGTTGCTAGCCTCCGAAGGACAGTAGTACATGTACAGTTTTTCAATAATCTGTAATACCATCCATCACGCGGTTTTGTGAGAAGAATCCGTATGGATGCAATTCATTCTATGGTGTAACACATAAAGAACAAAATACTGTTATGTAGTTTGATTTGTGTTTTTTTTAGTAATAAAATTATACGCTAATGACCGCGTGGTGACTTTTGATGAGATGTGAATTCCCCCAAGACAAGAGTTGTTTGGAACAATCAAACATTGAGTAACTAAGCCACTTTCCCAAGCAGCCAAAATAGACCTATTTTTTTCCATCCTTGTGAAACAATTACAGCAGAGTGTTATGAGAAGTCGAGGCTAAAACAGTTCATTATCGTAATTCATCCTGATTGTAATGGTCTGAATTTTGCACGAAGACCACCGGAGCACGCGCCAGATTTAGGGCTGGAGGGATGACAATTAGATAATTAATTGTGTAAATATTAACGGTATTGTCAATTAGAATGAGGATATCTGAAAATTGAAGCAACACATTTCGTGTCTTGGACGCTCGAAAATCCACTCCAAAGAAAAGAAAAAAATTAGAATTTTTCGGTAATTTGAATCCAATCAGTAATCCAACAAAGGTCCCTCTCGTCTCCATTTTTACAACCAACTGTCGCATTCAAATTCTACTACGAACTTTGTGACTAGCTTTAAGGGCTTACTGTGACTGTAACTGACTCTGGGCCAATGTCAAGTATCAACATCGACATACAGTGCTCCCTCAGTAATCCGAATATTCCCAGCATTTAGTTTGGATTTCTTAGAATTGTACACATTGTATAGTAATCCGAATTAATTGTTGCAGGGGAATATTTAAGAATTATATTACAAGATATAATCCGTTCGCTTATTTACTCGATGCCTAGGAGACGAATGGCCCTCCGTGAGCCCAAAGGAGACCAATATACATTATTATTTTTTTTTTTTTGCTTTGACAGGGGCATCTGACAACTTGGCCATTTCAGCCCCGAAGCACTAGCAAAATACTGCTACGCACTCTATACAAATGTGTGGTGATTAGTGACCGTTAATCGATAATTATTCAGAAATCGTGAGATGCGGTCTGGTGTGATGTAGGTTTCAGAAAAACATTTTCTTTATCGTGCCAACGTTTCGATCTTTATTGAGATCATCTTCAGGGCTCAAAGTCTTTGTCTTGGCACTCTCAACACGACACGCAAGAATGGCACAATTACACAGAAGACAAACACTTTGAGCCCTGAAGATGATCTCAATAAAGATCGAAACGTTGGCACGATAAAGGAAATGTTTTTCTGAAACCTACATCACACCAGATCGCATCTCACTATTTCTGAATAATTACTCTATACAAAATCATACCAATACATTCATCCCTATATGTTCACGCTCATATATTTGGTAGATGGAGTACTCGATATTCCTCCATCTACCTGTTCACTACAATAAACTAATCTAATTTGGTGTCGATGGGGTACGTTAAAAGTTTTCCGCCAAGTCACGCACGCAACATGAGGGGCGATGGAGATGATCATCACCATCAGCCCCTCCCCATTCACACAGATAAATACATTCACACCAACGTACATTGATCGCACTCATTCTGTTTGGTAGATGGAGTGAGGTTCCCGCATAATCGGTCATTCTAAAAAGGACAATGAGGATCTTTAACGTCCGAACCTAGCCTATTCGGCCTTGTCGGACGTTGTGATTCTCAAGATGAGAGCTGACGCACCTCCGCATACGACAGGATGGTGTTACTGCCGCAGCGTTGGTAACCATCCCTAACCATCCCTAATAATGGAGTATTCGATATTCCTCCATCTGCCTACCTGTTACCTATAGTAAACTTATCTAAGTTGGGGTCGATGCGGTATTTTTATAAAATTTCCGCCATCAGCCCAAGTCATACACACAACCTGAGAGGCGATGGAGATGATCAACACCATCAGCCCCTCCCGATTCACACAGATAAATACATTCACACCAACATACATTGATCGCACTCATTCTGTTTGGTAGATGGAGTACTCGATATTCCTCCATCTCCCTGTTCACTAGAGTAAACTAATCTAATTTGGTGTCGATGGGGTACGTTAAAAGTTTTCCGCCAAGTCACGCACGCAACATGAGGGGCGATGGAGATGGTCACCATCAGCCCCTCCCCATTCACACAGATGAATACATTCACACCAACATACATTGATCGCACTCATTCTGTTTGGTAGATGGAGTATTCGCTATTCCTCCATTTACCTGTTCCCTATAATAAACTAATCTAAATTGGGGGCGATGGGATATTTTTATAAAATTTCCGCCATCAGCCCAAGTCACATAACCTGGGAGGCGATGGAGAAGCTACTTCGCCATCAGCCCTCCCCATTCACACCAATAAATACATTCACTCAAACAAGACACAGAAACATAAAACACGTAACTTAACTTCTATATACAATAGAAAATTTCCAATTTCCCCAAAAGGTAGGACAGGGGACCTAATATACATTATTAAGAGCAAAATTAGGTAATAAATGTTAGTTAAAATTTAAATTATCACTAAATGATTTTCCGTTGTTTGGTCTTTAAGTGTATTAAAAGAAAAACAAACACTAGTATGATTACAATACCTTGGACGTACGGATGTACAAAGGACAATTGCTAATGATATAAAATAATTAATGGAAAATCCGCTGGTACGAAACGAACACATCTAAATTACATAAACGTAAAAAAGACATCGGTCCATGGCTGGGTCTAGAAAAGTTTGTACGCGCATGGGTCATACCGACCTAACACACGGACACATTCTAATGGGTGTAAGACCACGTAGGTGTCCGTTGGGTGGAGAGCATATCACGTTAGAGCATAAAATAACAGAGTATTCAGCAAAGAAAGACCCCAAATGTCCTATCCGCGGCCTTGAGGCAGGGCTGCAGGCACGGAACGCTGTCCCAATATCTCAGGGCCTTACATTTTTGCATTTTTTCAATTGTATGTAGGATGTATCTTCATGTATGTTATATATATATTATTTGTGTGAATCGAGGGGTGTGTCCCCAAATGCTCTGAGGAATAACGAGTTCACTGGGGTAGTGAGAATAATTAGTGCTGTGAATATGTAATTTATTAGCGCGAATGGATGAGTCATTCCCAATTACCCCGAGGACTACCATGTTTTTATTATGTTTCTTTATATTCGTGGTTATTATTTATTTTATTTCATCCACAATTGGCGAGGTCCTGAGGCACTGAGAGGCTAGCAGCAGGACAAAGAAAATAAAGAGTTTGCCGTTGTATGATAAAATATCGCAACTAAGTTAGAGAAACAGAATGATAAATTAGAAGTCCATTCTGTCCATATATAGTAGTCTAATTGACCAAATTACTTCTTTCAATTAATTATTCTTTTTATCTGAGGTCTTGGTTGACGTGAAAAAGTTAGTGTCACGAGCGGATTTCGAACCCACGACCTTCGGCTCAATGCCCAGCTGCTCCAACCACTTGAGCTATCGTGGTTCGAATCGGGTGACACTAACTTTTTCATCTCAACCAACACCTTTCATAAAAAAGAATAATTGAATAAATTAGGAGGTTTAATGCGAGATAAAGATAAGTAAAGAAATGATAAGGAAGAGAGGGCTGGCGACGATTGTTTGCCGACCCTAAAAATAAAACTAAAAAAAAAAATTCTTATCTGGCATACAATTTGCAAGTCTTTTGTATATTTATTTGTTTTGATCATTTTACAAATGGAATAATTTATCATAATGTGAAATCTTGAAAATTAATCATCGTTGATTTTCTAGCGATGTTTTGAAGAGAGTTTGTAAAAAGAACATTGGCCAGCCGAAGGGAAAAATTTATTGACGAGTAGAAAGACCTCTTTGTGATGGATATTTTGAATAATTTTGCCCGGCGATGCTAAAATATTTCAAGGTTCTTTCTTCTTATCTGCAATAGTCATGAGGCTTTACTGTCAAAACTATTCAAGTTTATATTTTAAATAATGTGTGGTGATTAGTGACCGTTAGTCGATAATTATTCAGAAATCGTCTGGTCACCAGACCGCATCTCACGATTTTGGAATAATTTTAAATAATGTAGATTTATAAACTCTCTGCTTTGTGCATACATAAAGGGGGACGCTAAGGCGTCCCAACCTCCGGAACACCTTGCTCAGAGAAGACCGCGCCTATCAAGAGCACTGTCGATAGGTGGCTCTCGGAGGGACTGGTAGAAGGGTCACCCGATCAATGACGAAATTGTCGCATGGACACTTACGTCTGGGCCAAAGCATGCGTATGTGTCCGGCATGGAAAAGTTGCTCAATATGTCCCACCCAATTGAAGGGAGCAGTTCCTTGGCTCCATATAGAAAACGCGCAGGAATGCTACTTGAGAATTGTGCTTGACCTGGGAGCGAGTGCTTCGGAGGGAGTGTGCCCTTCATTTTCTTGGAGGAAACAGGGTTGTTTTATTGTATAATGATATAATGATAGTTTTGTAACCGTAGAGTGTGTTGAGAGAGCCGAAGAAGAAATATTGAGTACCCCATCAACCCGCAGTCAAGTTATATCATAGGTGTAAAGGATGGTGGAGGTGTATCAAGAACTCCACCACCATAACTGAGATTATGGTATGTAAATATATGCATTACTCGAGGTGAGTAATATACTGCGCCCTTGGAGAGTTATTGCATCTCCGTTCGGTACTAACAGCACACCGGTGAGTCCTAGTTCATCAAGGAACTTGATTCGTGATTGAATTTTTTCTACGGTTACGTTGTACATTCCAAAACACTTCCTTCTGCGGGAGGGAAAACGAGACGCCACAGTTGGTTAGAAGGTGTGTGGGTGTCTCCTTTGCTTCCTTGCAGAGATCCACCTAGGGGAGCCATAGCCCACTTAATGTGGAACTACGGTGACAATGGGTAGTACAGTGTGAGCAAGGTGGGGGGTGCAGCCTGAAAAGCCTCGTGTCCTTGTTCACTTCCCTTTTTCAATCCAGGTCCTTCGGTATATTTCCGTGAGACCTCACCCAAACCTTGGATGCAAGGGGGGTATCCAGGAGCAAAATAATGGTGCAGCCTTGAGGGCGTGGCAACCTCTCTAAAGCACAAGCTGGATTCGTATCGGCCTCCGGGTCGGCAGCGGACGGCGGATGATTGAACAGAGGCACACGAGGGTTAGGGTACCAGATCCTGTCTGCATAGACGGAGGAGGGTGCATAACCATCTGTACGACGGGGTTCCAAAGACCAACCCTGCTACATGGGAATGCGTAGTAGCTTAGAGGCGATGCTACTGGTGGGAATTTAGAGAAGAGGCTGTTCTTCTATCTATGACCTCCGCCCAAGCACTTGCGTATGACCTTCGTTACAACCCCGGCCTCACGGGATACGAAGGATCGGACCATCGAAGCGTATAGCGTTGATGACGCTCATGCTTCGCTGAAGGAGTCCCTCGAATGCGTGAGAAGTGTCGGATGGGAATTGATAGTGGGCAGTGGTTGCTGCATGGGCTTCCTTTGCCGAAGGCAGTCTCCTCTAGGGGGTGGTTAGCAATTCCACTTTAAACAAAACCGCGGCCGGAGTGGATCCGGACGTTCTTTCACTGGAGGAGCCCCCAATACTCTGGGAGATAGAGCCTTCTCTATCTAGGGAGTTCATGGGAGACCAGGCTGATGAATTTCAGCCACCTAGGGTAGTCCTGTACGTGCGGCTTACGTCTGATGTACTCGGAATGTGCAAGAGAGTAGTGAGGTTCGTCATGGCCCCTCGGGCCTGGGACGACTTCTACACTAACGCTCGCGCCTGTAACACAATCCGGTCGCGAGTGGAGGTGCGTCATCTATCATCTTGAGAATCAAAACGTCCGCTAAGGCCACGAGCCAGGTACGGACGCTAAAGATCCTCATTGTCTTTTAAGGACGACCGAGTATTTGGGAACGTATGCTTCCTTGCAGAATCTGCACGAGCCGTGTTGGGTTAAGCCAATCTTCTTCAGATGCCAGTTCAGTACGTGCAGTATCTAGTTAAGAATTCAGTCAGGATTCATAGTTTTGTCCCACTTCCTTTGATGCATTCTATTGTTTCTTTCCTTCTAAAATTTGCTAGTAGATTCTTGGATTGTTTATGTCCAATTAGTTAATTTCACTATTTCCTCATTTTCAGTTTGTCTTTTTGCCTGAAATACTCACTGACTGCCAATACCCGTAGGGTGTGATTTTCCAAGCCTGCTGGTAATTTATTCCAAATTACAAAACCTGTCAATGCTGCGAGACTATTACGACATGTACTGTACTACAAATTAGATATCTTTTCATGCAATATGATATTCATAGTTTCCGAGTTGGGATTTATTTCATAGATAAATTGGAAATGCAAAAGTATATATTTGTGATTGAATCTTACATACAAGCGTACACATTGAAATGTAAAAACGTAAAATATGTATATCAATATTACATATTTTTATTATTATGTCTTAAATTCTACCACGTTACTATGTAACGTATTTTCGTTAACAAAATCACATGAATCAATATTTACAATATTTCTTTAAAACGCAAAAAACAAAATAGGTTTTCATTAAATGATCACTTTTAAAGCAATTAATTTTTAGTGTCTGCGACAAAAAGCCAACTTTTTATTTATATATGTACATGTTACATTTTAACAATAAGACCTTTATACGGATCTATCGTTGATAACTTTATCTACTCTTTGGAATGTATAAACTTAAACAAATACCCCTTTGTTCAACTGTTCTCTTTTTCTATATAATCCCCTGAGGCAAATTAATAATTAAACGTTGTTACTATTGTTAATCATTTAATTTTGTAAGAGATTCATCTGGGCCGCGAAAAGGTGTCGATTAATGTCACTAATATACATTTTTTTAAATGGAAAACTTCTATTACTCGTGACATAATTTATATACATATATATTTTTTTGGCATTACTTAGACATAAATTGTTCATTAAACTGAAGGACAATACAACGTTTTCGTTATTAACGCTTTTAAATTAATTACCCTAATAAATTAACAATTAACATTAAATGTTAGGCATAAAACGAATTAATAACTAATTTACAAAAATTTTTAGGTTATGTTTTACAAACATTTAAACCACAAATTTAATTGCAAATAACATAGGTTTTCCTTTATACACATAGTACCGTGACAATTTTAATTTTATAATTGAAAATCTGTATATAAAAGTTTATAAATTTGTATTAAACTAAAAAAAAACCAAAAAAAAGCTCATATCTTCTATACGTTAATATATATGAAAAAAAGTTTTACAGTAGATAAGAGGTAGGCCAAAGATAGCCTTAGCCGCCTAGCTTGCTTTTATGTCAATTTCTGCTTGTTTTTTTTTCTTCGTTAAATTTGTATGAGGCCTTTTAAACATACTATAAAAAATAATTTTCCCAAGGAACTCATTTTTGAAGATTTTGCATTTAAATGAAAATCTCAAAGGTAGTTTATTTTTTTGTGTGTAAAATTACAAACAGACTGTGTGGTTAAATTCTGTTCTAATGGAATTTTATGCTTCCTTCATGTAAACTGACCTTACAGGTATAATTTTAAAATACACAGCCATCTTAAGCAAATCATTTGCTTCGGTTTGGACCAGCCCAAAACGTATCAAACCTTCAATTAAATCGAAATAAAAAATTGTTAATTTATTTAAATTTGTAAACAAAATTGGTTGATAGTGTACATAAATAAAAATGTTAAAGTCGTAGAACCGAATTTTCGCGGAAACTTTAACGCGAATTGAGATCGTCTTTGTATTTTTGCCTTGTTTCCCGTACAAAAGCCCTCGTCTCCATTTGTAGGGCGGTTAACTGTTTCTGCAACTGTTGGTTCTGCCTTAAAAGCGCCATTGTTCTAATCGTGATGTCAATGAGGTCTGAAAAAAACAACAACAGAAATTGTTTAAATAAAAATAAAACAGTAAAAGTTTCCAATGATATAAATACCTTGTTTCTTAGAAAGCTGGGAACAGTCTGTGTGCCTAATGTGACCATTTCTCGATCTAGGGGTGAAAGATGGTGCATCACCTTCCCGTACAGCTTGGTCGACAACCAGACCCATGCTGTAGAACAGTGTTTCCGTGATAGTATTGAAATCTCTATTTGTCCTCCTTGCCTTCCAGCTCGGCTTCAAAACATCCCCTGAAACACAAGGTACACAATTTAAAAAAAAAGTCATGTTCTATTAACAAGTCATTACTTAATCCCTCAATAGTTGAACACGCATTTGCACAAATTTGAACCTTCATTTATCCATTCAAATTCAAAATTATACTGTTTTGCTAGAAACCACAATTCATGCCAGAAAAAAAAACGGGATGATAAATATCAAGATTGGCACTTCGTCCACGACCTACAAAGAGGACATATCGGTTGGACAAATCACATTACCAATAGATATTGAGGTACTTGCTTCGCATATGTGATTATATCAGTTTTATTTTTTTAATTTTTTTAGTTTACTCGCGTTTTTGGATAGGCAGTCCAAAATATTGAAAACAACCAACCCTCATCATTAACCTTACAGGAGGAAATCTTACAATGTCATTCCGTACTCATCCACGCCTGTCGCTCTCCCTCTCATTCACTCACTATCTCTTTCTCTTTCTCTCTCTCTCTCTCTCTCTCTCTCTCTCTCTCTCTCTCTCCATCTATCTCTATGGTTATCTATCTCCCTTTCAATACTAATCTATCTTTATCTGTCTGTATATATCTCTCACTCCAACTCTTTCTCACTCTCTCTTTATCTATCAATCTTGTAAATACCGATTTCTGTTTATCCTTATCTATCGATGTATGTTTCTCTTTTCCTCTATCTATCCTCCATCCTATTCTCTCTCATTGTCTCTCTATCTTTCTTTATGATTCTGTTTCTCTCTCCAACACTCTCTCCCACCTCCCTTCTCTATTTATCTACCTTTCTATGTATCATCTCTATCTAGAGATGATATCTATCTAGATCTAGGTTTAGATCTTTCTATCTAGCTATCTATCTATTTTTCTATCTATCTAGTATCTTTCTATATATCTCCCACTCCCTCTCTGTCTATTTTTCTCTTTCTTTCTTTTTCTATCTCTCTTTCTCTATATATCTATCTATCTACCTAGCTATCTGTAAATCTCTAACTCCCACTTTCTCTTTCTCTCTTTATCTGACATTTTATCTATCTGACTATCCTGCACTATGCATATGTTTGTATCTCTCTCCTGCTCTCGCTCTCTCTCTCAACCACTCTCTATCTCTTTCTCTCTCTATCTATCTATCTATCTACCTAGCTATTTATATATCTCTAATTCCCACTTTCTCTCTATTTTTCTCATTCTCTCTCTATCTGTCATTTTATCTATCTAACTATCCTGCACTACGCATATGTGTCTATCTTTCTCCTGCTCTCTCTCTCTCTCTCTCTCTCTCTCTATCAACTACTCTATCTCGCTCTCTCTCTTTCTCTATCTATTTATCTAGCTAGCTAGCTACCTGTCTGTATATTTCTAACTCCTACTTTCTCTCTATTTTTCTCTTTCTCTCTCTATCTGTCTTTTTATCTATCTGACTATCCTGCACTATGCATATGTTTCTATCTCTCTCGTTCTCTCTTTCTCTCTCTCTCTCTCTCTCTCTCTGTGTCTCTCTTCCTCCCTCGCACTTTTTTTATTATCCATCCATCACTTTTTCAATTTTTGCTTGTGGCGCGGACCTTTTTTATTTAACTTATGCTTCATTGTCTTTTCTTTCGACATTTTGGGACAGTTCTCCTTTGAACATTGATACTTGCTCATTAACGCAATATAAAAATTACTGATATGTGGACAAATCGAATGCGAATTGATAATAATAAGATAAAAATAAATAATACGCACTCGTAAAATATACAATTCGCCCGTTTATTTGAAAAGATATGTCATAAATTAGTTAAATTACAAAATAACTTTACAAAAAATCAAATAAAACAATTTCTGGCAAATTTAGAATTAGAGGTTATCGTCAAATTAAGAAAATTACAAACTGACATATTTGTTAACTGCTTTAGTGTAGTTGTGAATCATTTATGTTAAGATTTTAATGTTTAAAAGAACAAAATATGATTTATATCTCCTTTCTTTTTGTATATGTTTAATCCTTATTTAGGGAATGTCCGTTTTTCATGTTTCACGGCCGGAGGCTTGCGAAACTTGGTATCGACCAAATGGTGTCACCTTGAGGCCACGTGTGAACCCTTTCAACCGGACGAGAAAATCTGTAGGCACGTTTCTCGATTGCGAATCATGTGAAAATCCGGTTTTTGTACAATACTGGCCGGTAACGGTTGTAAATATGTTCAAATAAGGGCAAAAATCAAGGTTTGACGCACGCTCGCCGTTATCGGGCCAGGAGAAATGATCAAATCGAAAAATTTCAAAACAGATATAGCTGATATTGTGCTAGGGTAACGTTTTTGAATTTTTAGCTGGATACACAATTTTTGGTGAGCGTTCATTGCCGTGTCATCAATTTCGCGTTACCTGAAAGAGAATTGAGTTAGGTCAGAATTAGAGACGGGTTAGGTTAGGTTAGGTATGGTAAGGATTATCTGGATTAGGCTTAGGAAAGGTTAAGGACGGGTTAGTTACATATACACGATTCAATGTTTTTGTCTGTTTAGGGAGAAACTATGCTAGTGCGAAGCTTTATTTGACTATGAAAAGGATGGAACAGGATCAACCATATATAGTTTAAAAAACAGTTAAACCCTATGAAAAGTGCCCTATGTGCAGTTGTAAAAATTAAATAGGTTTGGAACATTTGTACTTGGATTTAATATTAAATTTTTTCCTGAATGCGTTTTGATCATTTACTATGTCATTGAAATATAATTATATTCATTGAATTTTTTTGGTGTAATGTTTATGGGGACAATATGAAATAACCATATTATATTATTTTACATTTTATTTCTGCTTTCCTAATAATACCTCTTGAATTATGTTTACGTTCCGAAGGTCATGATGACAGCAACAGCAGAGGTCAAATCAACCCCGGGATTGCGGTGTTTGAAAAAAAGCCCATTTGGATGTACTTTATGTTTGAAATCAGGATGTGTTTTGAGCTCCGGACCCTGGGCGGATCTGGCCTCCAGGTGATAACCAAGATACTGGGTGACTGTACGACTCGAGTAGCTTGTGCTGCCAAGTTACATTGGGTTTGGCTAATATTGGCTGTTGGCGAAGTACGTGCTTCAACCCTCTATACTGACTAGTTATCAGATATCACAATCTATATTATTATTACCGCCGTTACAGAACAAGAAAAGTGAGAAAGTTATGGGAACATCCCAACATTCTATAGGTAGTACACTCGTGTGAGTGTCGACACTTAATAGTGCATGACAGGTACGAGTAAATCATTACAAAGCAAATCGAGAAAATCTTTGAGAAATATTTGTGAACTATAAAAATATAGATATTTTGTCTAGGACATCTGATTTTTGTCTACGGTAAGAAGCAAAATGATGCAAATAGCATCCATCTAAAACAGTGTGATTATTGTAGACAGTCCAATTAAACATAAAAATCAATGAATTTCTTCTAATTTGTACTCACCTAGAACCGCAGAGAGATAATTTCAATATAAATAGATTTTTTTGAGAATTTCCCGAGGCATAAAATCAGATAATCTTGTGAAAACTTGTTTAAACAATTGTTGGCTAATCTGAGATTTTTATCTATAAAACGGCTCTAAAGAACAAACAAAAACAATTGCGACTGTTAATATTGGAATGATTACTATTTTAACCTTGTGCAATTCTTTGCGCAATTTGACGCTACTATTGATTATTCTTTGAAAAATTTCTCTGGCCTCTATTCTAAGCAGAAACCGAAAAGAATAAAAAAGCTGTAATAAAGTAAAACTGTAAATGGAGACATTTATGACTCTAAAATGATAAAAAGGCAACCAAACATATTAAGCAACAAATAGACATGTAAATAACAACCTAGCAGTGTGACCCAAGTACTAATTGGCCACACCAGACTAACTGTACATCTCCTATTTAATAAAAATGGCGGTAGGGGCAAACTTGTTGGTAGAATAGGAAATGTTGGTGCCACACTGAAAAAGTTGTTGTTTATGAATATCAAAGATATTGTAAGGTACAGTAGTGGTAGTGAAAATTTGATTGTATACCTGAAAGCGGATAAATGCATATGGCCGCATTTCATGGCTTTCTACACGTTGTTTTTCCCATCTAGAATGTTTTTATTACCATGTATTTCAATGAATGGGTAGGTTTGTTGCGGAATGAAGAGTCACAGACCCACCAGCCAAGGTTTTATTTTATATATATTTGTAGAGTGATGATGGGTGAGACACCGGTGTAAAACCCGATGCCTCCTAGAATTTTAATTGTACATATAGTACAAAAGTTTCGAGTCAGTTTGAATGTATTTATTAGTGTGAATGTAATTGATGGCGGGTCCTCAGCGGAATTTTCAGTATCCCGAGAACTGCCAAATTTAAGTTTGGCTTCAATGCAATGCAAGGGGGTCGGTGGTCGCAACGGTTTAGGCGTTGACACGGCGCTCATCACTGTAAGGTAAAAGTCCCGGGTTCGAATCCAGCGGCCCTGCATTCGAACCCGACATACTTACAAATGGCTTCTTTTCAAAAACACCGGCACCCTGAGGGTTTATATGACCTCTGCTGTTGTGAACCCTCGTAAAAAAAAAAAAAAATTGTTCTGACCTAATGTTAAATCTTTCAATTAATTAATCTTTTTATGTAAGGTTTTGGTTGAAATGAAAACGTTAGTGTCACGAGCGGGATTCGAACCCACGACCTTCGGCTCAATACGTCCCTGCTCTAACCACTTGAGCTATTGTGACTTGGAGAAGTAGCGGCGTACTGAGCCGAAGGTCCTGGGTTCGAATCCCGCTCGTGACACTAACTTTTTCATTTCAACCAAAACCTTACATAAAAAGATTAATTAATTGAAAGAAGTAATTTGGCTAATAGGCCACTAAGTATAATGGATTCTAATGTTAAATAATAACATTCCAGCTAAACTCAACATATTTAATGATGTATATAGATCTGTGTTGTTCTATACTTGCCAAGTTTGAGGCCATCAACAATGCGACAAACCAAAATATTTCTGAGGTTTTTT